TATTAAAATTAATATGTTTGAAAATATATTAAATTTTATTTTAATACACGGCGTGGTAATAATGCAGCATTTTTTTAAATGTCCCGTCATAGACACGTTAAACATAATATTCGTATTTTATATGCGTGAATCAGAGAAATTAGCCAAAAATAAAACAAGAATTTGATTTTTTTAACCAAACAGTGATTAAAATTTCAGTCTAAACTCCTGACCAAACATAATGAAAATAAAAATCCTTAAATCTTGAAACTTCAGTACACACCAAAGGTAATAAAATAAAATTAAAATGTTGAGGGAAATAACAAAATTAACTCTCTTTTATTTTTTTTTTTGAAAAAACTTCTCCATTTCCTTTTCTTTCTCTCATGAAATCATTCTTAACGCAACTGACGCCCCACAAAACCTTGAAAGCTGAATCGCTCCCCTTGATTCCTCATACGTTTTCAATTCTCCGAGTTCTAACAGATTTAATTTATACTTTAGTTCTGAAAAAAGAAAGTTATAAAACGCATTTATAAATTTGATTGATACATGTAATTTTATTTAAAAATATTTTATACTTTGATATGAAGGAAATAGTAACTTTCAACGCCATTGACCGAGAACAAGTCCGCTTCCACCATAACGTCGATAGATTGTTGAATATTAATATTAATATATTTAATAAAGTTTGAGATTGATTGATTGTTTAGTAATATTAATATATTTGAAAATATATTAAATTTTATTATAATATACGGCGCGGTAACAATGCAGTATTTTTTTATGTGTCACGTCATAGAGACGTTAAACATAATATTGACATAATATTTATTTTACATACGTGAATCAGAGAAATTAGCAAAAAATAAAACAAGTTGGAGTTTTTTTCATACCCAAACAATGATTTAAATTTCAGTCTAAACTCCTAACCAAACATAATGAAAAGGAAAGCCCTTAAATCTTGAAACTTCACTACACACCAAGGGTAATAAAATAAAATTAAAAAGTTGAGGGAAATAACAAAATTAACTTTCTTTTAAATTTTTTTGAAAAAACTTTTCCCTTTCTTCTTCTTTCTCTCATGAAACCATCCTTAACACAACTGACACCCCACAAAACCTTGAATCGCTCCCCTTGATCCCTCATACGATTCCAATTCTTTGAGTTCTAACAGATTTTTGTAGTTTAGCTTTGATCAATATTATTTGGGGTAGCTCCATCTCTTTCATCTTCTTCACCATAGTTCTTTTCTCCTAGTCATTTGTTTTCTCCACAGAACTTTGGTTCTGTATATTCTCAAGCAATGGTGAATTTCATTTGAAGAGGAAAAATGTGCACCGACACTTCAAAATCTCACTTTACAATGAGAATTTGTTTATATTTTGAATCTTGTTATCAAGGTAAAAAGAGTTATAAATTTTTATACTGAAATTATTCATTTTAATTAACTACTTCAGTATGAGGAGTAAACATCACTAAAAATCAAATCAAGTAAAGTGTATACAGACAACTTTTATAAGAAAATAACCACTTCAATAAACTCTTTTTAATATAATAACACATCTAGAAATAAAATCAAATGTAGTTATGCACATAAATAACTCTTGCAGGCAACTTAACCACTTCAGTATAAGAAACGAACAATTTTAATATGAGAAATTTGCAATTATTTTTACCATGATAATACCACTAGGAATAAAATTAAGTAAAGTTATGAACATATACAACTCCTATTGGAAAATTAAACAGTTCAATATGAAAAATGAACAACTTCAATGCAAGAAATTAATAACTTTTTTTTACTATGATAACAACATTGAGAATAAAATTAAGTGAAATTATGCATACAAATAACTCCTGCAGGAAAATTTATCACTTTAGTATGAGAAATGAATTGTTCTTGTAGGGAAAATTTGCAAGTGTCTTTTAACAAGTTTAAGTCACTTCCATAAGAAACAAGTCATGCTAGTTAAATGAATAACTGTAGTATGTAAAATTAACAATTAGAGTAGGAAAAATGAATAGCTCAAGTTTAGAAAATGAACAACTCATGTACAACTTTGCAAATTAACAAATTATATTAATAAACTATCATTTACATTAGTATCAAACAATTTCATCCTAATACTGCGTCCAATTTGTGAAGAAGTAATCACATGAACAAATTGTTGAGAACAATTTATTATAGGCTTCAAAGCTAGATTGAACAATGCCTAGGTTTCAAACCTCCTTCAATGCTTGCCCAAGAACAACCACGCAGGCTTGACAATGGCTAACGGCTTCTAATTGCGAGCTCGACCAAGTGTGTAGATTGGAGAGTTTGTTCGTTGATGAAGACCATCAAAGGGGGATGTTCGATTATGTTATTATGTTTTTTCTTTCACGGTGGATAATGAGATAATTTTAGCTTGTATTTTAATTTCATTTCACTACCTTTAGTGTCTAATAAACAAAGTTTAAGGGGTTTCATTTTTATTATGTTTAGTCAAATGATCTATACTGAAATTTTCCAAAAAAAGTAAAGAGGGGCCCTTGTCTCTTACGTTGGGCACAATGGCTTTCTGTTTAGTTGTTTAGCTATCAACTTATGGGGCAGCTCAACTTTTTCTTTATTTGAATGAAAAAGTGTAACATCAATAAAAAATTTTAACAGTCAATACACATTTTGAGATCTCGAATTATTGACATTTCATCATCTACCACGTTTCTACTATAAGGTAGCAGTCGATTAAAAGAATAAAAACTACTTATCAAATATATTACATCTATTTGTTTATATTCATGTAGAATGTAATTTTAAATTTATAGTATAATTCATTCTAAATGTCATGCAGAAGCAGAACACCAATTAAAAATCTAGTAATCCATGCATCAATTTTTTTTCTTACTTGGTTATTTTTGTTGGGGCAGATGTGGTAACTGGTTAGTTTTTTTTTTTTTGTAAAAGGTAATTGGTTTGTTTTATTCGATAATATCCAACTAATGACAATTTGAGAGCAATAAAACTTGTAATCCTTCAAATCTATCTGAATTATCGATTAGCCCTTTAAGTTTAATTTTTATCAATGCAGTCCCTTACAATTTTGTAAATTATTATGTTAGTCCTCTAAGTTTTAAAACACAAATTAACTCTCAAATTAATCTATTATGTAAAATATATTAATAACTTAACATGTATATATAGCTAAATGAAAACAAGTTAGACATCAAATAAGTTTAATTTTTATCAATATGAAGCTTTTGCTCCATTTTGTTCTCTTGTTTTTTAAATTTTTTGAGTATGCATGTTTTTTTTTCTATCTAAATAATTGCACTTTTTCATTAATTTATATGGCTACTATCAATATTCCTTTATTTATGTTAATAATTTTAATTGTGTTATCTCCTTTTAAAATAATAAGAATCAAATTGACAATTAAAAAAAACTTAAAACACTAAAGGTTTGTTTCAGAGTTTTACTTTTCACATTCAGAAAATAAGATTTCACTTTTAGGATGTGAAAAGTTATTTGAATAAAATATTTTATAAAAAAACACATCTTAAAAAAACGTCTAAATAGTGGCTGAAAGTAAATTTGAAAAACATAACTATTTGAAGTTATTGCAACGTGTTTTTGAAATATGATCCTTTTAATTTTTGATTTGACCATGTTATCCCAAAATTTTTAATGACTCTTCTATTTTTAATTTTTCTTTATATTTTTGTCACACAATTTTTTTTATATTTTTTTATTAATGGGACTATTTTTATGCAATTATTTTCATTTTACTATTAATATTTCAAGTGTGGCAATTCAATTAGAGATCAAATTATACATTATAAATCGAAAAACTAGTCCTATTAATTTTCAATATTAATGTATGTGAACTAATTATTATAGATTTTTTTTCAACATATCAAACTTTATATTCATTATTATTATTATTTAACATATCAAATTTTACGGCATTCAAAATTTCTATCATATTTTTTAAATATTTTAAATATATTACATTTGTATATTTTTTGATAATTATATATTCAAAAGAAAATTTTGTTATCATAATTTAAATAATTTTTAGTTTACTAAACTGACTTTTAAAAAAAATATTTAAATATAAATTTCGTTAATAATAAAAAAATGTATCATTTATTTTCTATAAGGATAATTTGATAATTTATCTAAATTCGTTAATGATAAAAAAAGTTATTGAGGATTTCAGAAGAATTATAATATTTTGAAGGATCAAATTATTATTTATATATTTTATAAAGATTTTATTATTATTTATCCTATTTAAAATGGTTAACAGATATTTTTAAAATATTAATTTAACTAGGATCGATTACTCATCAAAAAACAGTGAATGGGCTAAGTTCGATCTCAGAATATCGAACCCAAAAAAATCTTCGAAGATGGAGGATGCTATTGCCTGTTGATGAGGGATCTGTAACATTTCTCTCAATCATATATTATAGTTCATTCATCCTTATATATAAAAGATTTTTTAAAATATTTTTTTTCTTAAATACAAGAGGTTGCTGATATTTTTTTAATAAATTGATCATTATATTATTATTAAATTTAAAAGAGAAAAAAATAATTACTTTTATTAATTTACTTTGAAAAAGTAGACTCAATTTTATTTACGATAATTAAGGATAAAATTAGAATGTTAATATATTTTTAATTAAATAATTAACTTTTATTATTTTACGTGATTTGAGTAAAAACATTTTATATGCAGGGATTGAGGGTAAGTAGTTTTCAACATGTTTTATCACAGGCAAGAAAAAATCTTAAAACTTATCATATACTCTTTAAATGTTTAATTAATCCTTTCGTTTCAATGATAGATTATATTATCTTCTTACATTCTTGTAATAGCCGAATCTCGTCTTTATGTTGCATATGCATCCATTCTCGTATGAATAATGCACATGCAGCTACTGGTGGTCGTCGTTTTTTCCTTGCACAAGGCAAATCATATGACCTGCCATTGTTATCGGACTATTTCATACTATATCCATGGAAAACATTTTTTTAACAACAGTCATTTCTTTATTTTAGTGGACTTCAAAATTATACATTGGTGTGTGCACATACTTTTGCAGAAACATTATTGCAAACTGTAAATTCACTTCAAGCATTCCACACAAGCAACTATGTTAAATATTTGGATATCAGCCAGCGTCCCAAACAAACCCTTAGCTCATCTCATGCCCTCTACTTAGCCTGTGTGACAGAAATTGAAGTTTATCAATTAAGTAGCTAGGTACAGGAAGACCTACAGTTAATTTAACAAAGGAAATTACTCTGTCAATGAAAGTTTTATTCATACCATGAAGCGATTCTTGAAAACTTCAACAAACTCATGAGGATCAAGTTTTGTTTGTTTATAAGCATCATACTTGTTCAGCTCCTAAAAAAAAAAAAAGGTTTCTCTTGTTAGCCAAAACGTGATAAACTGTATAGAATCAATGTTTTAAGACGATATATAATTAATGTGTAATAATGACTAGATGGAAAATAAAGACACTGTAATTAATTAATTTTCTGTAGAAATGAACAGATGCAGATAATAAACGTTGTAGGTCTTAAATATTAACTAAAGTTTGCTTCTATATGTTCTTTTGTACCTCAATCCATGCCGCTAGTCGAGGTCTTCCAGCTGTGATATCACGCTTAAATATCTCAGAAAAGATTATTTGGAATCTTTCAAAAAACGGAATGAACGCAACATCCACCTGATGAAAATCAACTTGATTTTTAAAATCAACAGAAAAACAGAGAACATCATATAACAATAATTACGCACTGAGAATTTTCATCTCACGTACCAAACTAAATTGGCCAAGGAAGAATGGGCCATCCTCAAAATTACCGAGAGCATTCTCCACGTAGTCAAAAGAAGCACCTGATTCAGACGAAACACCACGAATCTTAACAGGACCATTCTATGCATGTTTAGAATCATTTATATCTTGCTTCAATTTAAAAAACTTAGATCTTACTGGTCGCATTTACAGGATCTCCTTTTAATGAAGAAAAGACATCTCTGGTAAAAGTATCAACATATGATAACAGGTGCTCCCCGACTTCTTTCTTTTCAGGGTCCTGAAATTTGATTGAACCTCTATTCTTAGCATTACTCCAAATAATTAAATATTAGATGAATTAACCTCTCGGTCATATTACGGAATTTATCAGTATATATTCTCACTTCAGGAAGCAGCGCTGGCCCTTCAAAATTAGCATTCACGTATCTGATCAGGTCAAGACTTTCTGCTAAAACCTTCCCATCATGCTCCAGCGATGGCACCTTTATTGCAATAAAAGCAAACATAAGCGCACCAATATAGATAGCTTCAAATGTGAAGTTTAAATAGGTTTAGTTATATTGGATGATGTTTTATATTTTCCTACAGTTTAGTCTACCTTATTTTCGGGGTGGACTTTCTCTTTATACCAAACAGGCCTGTTCTGAAGGTCGAGAGGAACCAACTGGATCTTGTCTTGTAGTCCCTGATTCATGTCCAGGAAAAAAACGTTAAATATAGGTCATCACGCATGAAACAGATATATCATATATAGGACTTAATTACATGATAAAAAATGCACAGTACAACCTTGTAGTTCCTTGTAATCCATACGCGTTGTGCAAATGGACAGCCATAACTCATGTACAACCTAATATATCAAAGGAAGACCCGATATACACTATTATAAGCAAGGGATAAAGGGAATTTTATCGGAGTTGAGAATTTAATTGGAAGCAAAAATGATGGAGGCATAATGTAAATGAACCTGGTAGTCCCATCAAATACAGGAGGAGGGTCGGAGGACGAAGACAACGTGGGAGGGCGAACTTCATGCACGGTTCTGAATATTAGCCCCACACACACACACACACACACACACACACACACAGATACGTCAGAAAAGAGAGAGCATTTGATTCAGACAAAGAAAACTAAACTGGAGCATGTAAGTGGCTTACGAGGTTGCCATTGACGTGGTTGTCCGACGAAGCTTAGTGATGGGGAAGAATGTGGTTCCGACTCCAAGTGGTGTCGATGCTCCCACTTCTTTTATAAAAGTTTGAAATGATTGCTGGCGCCAGCAGTGACGAATAGAAACCCAAGAGCCAGCCATATATATAATATATTAATAAACACACACACACACACACAAACGACCACAAGAATGAGGCTGCATCTAAGTTATTCAGACTTCTTGGATCCAATAATGTTGCTTTTATAAACCTTATCTGAAAATGTTGTATTGCCGGTTTTAATTTGCCAGCTGCCAGTGTCTGCTTTCAACCTTACGACATGCAAGGAAATTGCCAAAGTCTTACCTTAGCTTCTTGCGTTGATCTTACGACATTGACTTTCAAACTTCAATTCTTGAAAAAACATCAATGTCTTTGATTTTTTACTTACATATGAATATGCTTCTGGAGAGATCTTAATCTCAGGATATTACTAATCCGAGATTTTGAGTTCTATACTTCCTTCAGTTTTACTTCAAAATTCTATAAATTGCGATTAATTAATTAGTTATAATTGAGATCTACGTATACCTTGGTTCTTGGTCAAATATTGCTACAGATCCAAATATTAAAAATTTAAATGCTATGATTATATATATATATATATATGAAGTCAACATTTACTATTACAAAAATAATTTATGAAAGCACTTATTTTTATCCAGCAAGAGAGCTTTAAAAGCACTCCCATAGCTAGCACTTTAAAAGCGCTCCTATAGATAATGTATATGTAAAGCTGGAGCCAAGATCCAAAGTCAGGGAGTGCAAGACAATTCAATTTAAAAATTAATATTTCAAAAAATATATTACAATAATTTTAAAAATAATTACATCAGACAAAAAATATAATAACATAAGTAACGTTATACATATTTTTATTTGGAAAAAAATATATTGAAGATTCATTAGGGCAAAAAATTATGTTGAGAAAGTTAATATAAAGTTTAATTTAAGAAAATAAAAAATAAAATTATTATCTAAAAGGATGACTTTAATTTTTTGTGCTTAAATTTTATCATAAAATAAATAACTCTTGACCCCTTTTTTTAATAATATGTCTAATGAGCATTTTTTTTGTTTAAATTTATGAAATATGAGTTAACATATTATTATTTAAGAATTTTTTTATTAAGTCTAGAGGGTTTAAAATTATAAAACTAGGGGTACAAAATTATAATTTTTACATACTATTTATGTAATTTTTTCCATGTGATAGATATGGGAGTGCTCTTGAAAAAAGCATTCTAATATCCTGGTCCTTTGGGAGCACTCTCATATGTTTTTTTAATTTTTTTAAAAATTTAGTTATTTATTTACAAGTCTTTTGCAACTCATTACAAAGGACAACTATTCCATATTAATATAAAAAAAGAAAAATTAATTTTTAAGTCCTTCAACTTTTAACTTACTTATAATTCAGTCTCTCAACCATAACTCGCTGCGACTCAGTCTCTCAACTATAGCTCGCTGCAACTTAATCCTTCAACTTTTAATTTACCTATAACTCGATCCTTATTTTTTAATTTTTTTAAAAAAAATTTATCAAATAAAAGAGATAAAAAATACTAATATATTATTTTAAAATACCATCTTCATTAATATGAGATATAAGCTAACATGAAAAAAAATTAACAAAGGTTAATGGACTAATTTGTAGGTGATTCAAAAGTTGAGGAATTGAGTCATAGGCGAGTTATAGTTGAGGGACTGAGTCACAACAAGTCATAGTTGAGGGACTAAGTTACAAATAACTTAAAAGTTGGAGAACTAAAAGATTAAATTTTTTTATAAAAAAATTAATCCAGCAACAACATAATTAAACATTAGAAGGTATATACAAATAAAAAATTTGAAATTAAAACAAACTTAGATCAAATTTTTAACTTGTTTGATCTCTTATTAGTTTATCTTGTAAATAAAACTTTTGGTATTTTTTAACATTAGATGTTACTTATTACAAATAACTAATTATATATTTTGCCGATTTCTCAATTACATCTTTTATTTGCTCTATGATTAAATACGAAGATCTTGTTTTAACAAAATACTACAAAAAAATTAACATATAATTAATTATCTATCAACTAAGTGCTCCTAAAGTTTTTATTTATTTATTTATTTTAATTATAAAGGTTTTTTTTGTTGTAAGATATAGGAGTGCTTATTAGGCAAGCACTCCTAAAGGTTAATGTTTTTTATTTTTTTATTTTTTTAATTCTTTATCATTTGGAGGGCTTTATTAGAGTGTGCTTCTAAATTCTTTTTTTTTTTTCAGTATTTTTTGATTGATGTACAGGAGCACTCTATTTGAGTGCTCATACAGTTTTGCATATACTAATGGAAGTGCTCAGTGGTTTAGTGATTCAATGGTATTTTTGGCTCAGCTGCCAAGTTTGGAGTACTTGACTTCAAATTTAATTTAATGGCCATCCCTCATCCGTCCTGAGTTTGAAATATTCCACTTCCTTTTTTCTAGCAAGATGATACTACGTACACACGTGATAAGTGCTAAGGTGCAAGAGAAGCACGTAGATACACGTTATTTTTATTTTTATTTTTTGTTCATATATATTAGTCAAACACCATTTGAGCACATCTCTGAGCAAGGTTTGAATATTTGATTCATTGCGTTGTGAGGAATTATTCTTTTATACTAATTATAACCCCGTTAATACATGTCATTTTCTACGTAGTATATAATTATATACATATTCAAAATATGAGCATTATCATTATAATATAAAGATATATTTCTTTTACAGTATATAATATAACAGGTTAAAAGTATTCAATCACCGCTGATTTATGATCAACAATCGTACTCTCTAACAAACCAATAAACAGAAATTAAACATTTTTTAAAAAGGTCCATAATATGGTTAGAGGACTCCCCCCCCCCCCCAAGGGTAAATTGTGTTGACGTATGAGAGTAATTTCGGATGAGCTGTATATTATATTATGGCGTAGCTTCAGGGAAAACGCAGTCTTGTGATTTGAAGTACAACAGGGTATACAAGCCATTGACACACTGATATAACAAACAACAGAGTACGTGAAATGCAAGTAAGATTAGCGCAGAAAAAGGCAAATTAACAAAATTATTTACCATTTCAATGGAATAATCAACCGCACATGTCAGTAATCACCATTGCGTGGAAGCGGTAAATATCAAGATAAACTGCAAACCATTCTACAATTTTACAGCTGAAGGTACCCCAGTAACAACTAACCGGTGTTTCTACAAGGTGGGGGATGATGTGATTGCCTGGTAAATATAAGCAATCATACCAATTTCAATGGTTAAAATATTTTAATCTATTCAGACTTCTTTGCCAGACTCAATGCCACTCCAATAGTTAAACTTGAGGCTACAAAACCCAGGGATGCCTCCGTTGACACGTGGATCCCTGTAGGAAAGAGAAGGCGTTAACAGACAAGCAGAGTATGTGTATGATGCAAAAGTTGGTAATATAGTTGCAGTGTGCCCACCTAAATAGTCCAGAATCATCTTGAACCCAATAAAACCCAGAACAACAGCAATGGTCGGCTGATAAGACCAAAAGTGCACATCAGTGAAAAGAATAGAAAAGATAATTAAATGCAATTTTAGACATCGCATTACAAATGAATATAATGAATATTCAGTGTGCATATCATCCCGAACTAATAGCTTGCTTTGCATTTCCAAGTCAGTCTGCATATAGGATTCCATTTTTCTTTGGAAGCAGCGTTCTTTTCTCTTTTTCTTTTTAACAAATTTGTGATAGAACAGATTTGGTGCATTTTTCGCATTCTAGGAACTTGGAAGAAGCATTAAACTTCTGCTATAGTAGAACCAAAATATAATAAGTAGACTCCAGAACAGAACGGTCCAAGCAAACATTTACCTGTAAGTACTCCAACTCAGACATACTCTCGGAAATAATTGTGTAAAGTGATCTCAAACCTATGTTTGGCAAGTAAGACAAGTTTAATTATTGGTATACATAGTTATTTGCAAGGAAGAGTGTAAACCAACATTGGACAAAGACAAGAGATTTTAACAGAGGTAATGCAGAATAGAACAATTTACAAAGCAGCCATTTCACTTCGTTGCAGACAAATCTAAGGTGTGCTGTGAAATCACAAAATTGTACCGTTAAGCAAACAGTTAAACCACCTTTGAAATTAGAATTGTAATCATGTAATCCTATTTAAGGGTGTTCATAGGTTTGGTTTTGAGAAAAAACCAAACCAATTAATTCAAAACTTAGGACCTATTCAGTTTTTTTTTCTTCTAATTGGTTTAGTTCGGTTTTTGAATAGTTTGGTCTGGTTTGGTTTAGGTTTGAATCAAGTTTGAGTTTATTTTTGAGATATTTTTCATAATCAATATATATATATATATATGAATATTCACTATTAATTTTAACTATTAATTAGTATTTTCAATGAAAAAAATCTCTTAAGAACAAAAGAACATTTTTTTTAACAATTATTTAGAACATTTAACTATTAAAAACTAACATATTATCCTTAAACCACTTATTATAAAATTAAAAAATTATCAACAACATTTAACAAATTGTAACATTTTTAACTAGTGAGTTATAGATAAATAAATTGGGAAAGAAATTTTTTATAAATTTATAAAAATATATAAAATAGATATAATAAGGTTTGGTTCAAGTTTCAAGAGATAGAAACTTAAACTAAACCAAACCAATTGATTTTGTTAAAAAAAAAAAAAACCAGAACTTAATTATAATTGGTTTTGATCAGTTCACATTGGTTTGGTTTAGTTTGATTTGATGTAATTAGTTTGGATTCGTTTTGAACACCCTTAGTCCTATTTACAACACACCACATTGATTATTTATTACAATTTTCCCCTTTTATCCTTATTCAATGTTGATTTAAGAAAGTAAGAAACTTTTTTAAGGATGTATTTAATATGGGTAAAGTAGGAAATTTGTTTAATTTTTATACAAAGTTAATGAATTCTAAGATTTTTCTTGATTCCTGTGAAAAATGTTGAAAGTGACTTGTAAATGGGACCAAAGGGAGTATAACCAATCTTTTTAGGTCACTAGTGCATTATAACTCGAGAGGAAATTTTGAAGCAAGCATACTTACCCAATATGGCAAAAAGATTAGAAGTAAAAACTATGAATGGATCCCGTGTTACGCCAAAAACTGCAGGGATTGAATCAACCTATTACAAAAGCCAAAAAGGAAAAAAAAATATCACATTAACATTCTCATTCTAAATTCTAAATTATCCAGAAAAAGCCAAATATAGTGGAGGGATGAAACATAGTTACTGCAAATGCAATGTCACTGAGTTCAATAACTGCTACAGTAAGGAGCAAAGGTGTGGCCTGCCCAAAAGGTTTGACCCCTGTTAGAAATAAAGTCCAAATTAATTTAACAAACTAAAGATTTTTATAGTTATTGAGAAGCAATTGATGTGCTAATCCAAGAACATATACAATGGATTTGAGAAAGTAATCTAATACTGCAGTTGTTGCTTATCAATAACTTACTTTCCAAGACCCATCTTGATTTGTTATAAACCGGTTTCCATCATAATACGCTGCAATAACTTGTGAGAGTTAGGTTTCAGCTGATAACATCACTGATTCAAATTTGAATAGACCAATGCGGGCAACAGCTAACAAATGTTTCGCCCCTATCCATGAGCATGTTTACATTTACATATTATAATTTAACAAACCAAAACAAAACAATCAGTCAACGGTCAATCAAATAAGAAAATTCCAATATTACGGAAAGGAGGCTTCAATACAACATACTACATCCAAAATTAAGCATAAAGCATCTAGCTTGCACCAGACCGTAAAAAGAATAGTCTAAGATCTATGCGAGAATATTCACAATAAATTCTATATTCTTTGCGTGTACAGAACAAAGCCTTCCTACCATTGTCTAGATTAATAAGTAGGAAGCCATTTAACACTGACTGACAAAGCACCAAGCAAGCAAATTCCACTCCAAGTAATGAACGAGAAATACTTAATCGTGTGAGAGTACATTACTTGTTACAGGGATAAATCTCTGGCATGTCTTCACAATAAGGTTATCAGATAAGTCAGACTCGTCTTCTTCACTGGCAAAAAGCTAATTGCATGCCCAAAAAAATGTAATTAGAGCTATAAAATTGTGATACATTGCAACAAGCATAATATTATCAGGAAGTAAACACGGGAGTGTTGTATCAACCATCAAGATTCAAGCAGGTGGAGAATGTAAACATTATTATGAATCTTCACCTTGAATGAAGAGTACAGTAATATTCCAGCCAGTAGAAGGTTGACTGCCTCAAACCTCTAAACAACACCATTAAAAGGACTTAAGATGATCACCAAAGGTTTTAAGCCTTTTGCAAACATACAAACAAGAATCAAATAGCTGAAGAAATCTACCCATTAAGAAACTCACCTGAAGGGTAGCAGTTCCAAGAAATATTAATGCTAGACGAAAGACAACTGCACCAGCAATACCATAAGAAAGAACACGACTCTGTGTGTCATCAAGAAAAGGAAAATGAAAACCAAGATCCACTTTGCAATACACAAAGGCTTTTGTTTATTGTTGAAACCATGTAAAAAAAGTTTGATATCAATATAAGAAAATATAGAGTTGAATATGGGAAACCATGTCATCATCACCTGATACATTATGGGAACTTTAAAATACTTGAATATTAGAACAAAGACAAAGAGATTATCTACTGACAGACTCTGCTCCAATATGTACCTGAAAAAAGTGGGCAAGATCATCCTCCCAGCAAAAGTGCAAGAAAGTGAAAACAAAGCAGAATGTAGTGATATTTTCAAAACTTTTTTTAGGAAAACCATAAATTCAGTGGAAACTTATATGTCCAAAAATAATGGTCGAAGGCTCCAGTTGGTAACCTTGAATAAATGAAAAAGAATTCCATTGCACATAGTTCAAGGTATACAATATATATTATATCTCTATTATCATTATTGAATAATAACCACTTTTTTATTTTTTTTTATTCAGTACTATCACAGACATTTTCCATCTAAAAACTTGATGTTTCCTTCTATTCCATTCTATTTTGCATACCAAGAAGGGCCTAAATGTAATAACATAAGCAACATAGCTTCCTTGCTCCCTAGTAAGACAAGATGCAGTAAGCTTATAAGCTTCAAAAGTCAACAATTTGATCACCTCTGAAAGACATCAATTGAATATGCTGGTGGAGACTTTGCATGTTATTTGATTTTGACAGATCCTAAATATTGGAACCAATTAACTAGACCCACAAAAATGTGAATAGATGAATTTATAGTTTACAAAATAATCATCCTACATACCCAGCAAAGAACTCAGATGCCTTGTCAACACCTTCTTTAAGGCCCACACCAACACCAAATGCCACAGCAGTAAAAACCTATAAGAAACACCGCTGATCTGATGTAAAGGTAGAGATTCCAGACAAACGGAGAAAATATAAAGAAAGCACTAGAATCATAAGATCTGCCTACCCATAGTGAAACAATTCTAACAGAGGACATGTAATCTTTATTTCCATGAGATGCCTGTGTGTTATTAACTGCAGGGTGAGCACGAGGTGTCTCAATGTTGCCAATGTCATCATGTGGCTGAGCACTGATCCTCTTGCCTTATAAAATATCATCAAAATATAACGTAATTAATGAAAGTTAAAAAAAGAAGAAGAAGAAGAAAGAAAGCCAATATATTTAAGATAACATAATTAAAATTGAAAAGACAGGTCTCCTAGATGGTATGATAACAGACGTGGTTTTTCATGCATGGAAGATTGGGCTGTTAAATTTTTAGAATAATGCAAGTCAAATGACATCTGCCCTATGACTGCAGCCATTTTTATATCTCTGATTACAAATATGAAAACGAAAGGTCTGTTTAATGGATTAACAAAGGGTAGTAAACAAACACATCAAGAGCTCGAGCTTTGGTGCCGTTTCACCAAATGCTCATGAATATAGGTAAACATGGTTGTGGAGCTAGTGAAGAGATCAGATAGTAGAATTTAACGGGTTGAGCAGACATCTGAGGCAAGAAACACAGCTAAATTAAGCCGCCACACCATGTGAAGCGCGGAAAAATGGTGAATTTGGTATAAATCATAGTACTAAAGTCATTAGATCACGATATCTCAATTAAGAAAGGCCATCCTTCCTGTTCTCATGGGGTGCTGGGCAGTTACCTAATGCAGATAAATCATCCCCGTGGTCAGTCCCTTTTGAGCACGAAATCGGCTCACAATAAGCCCGACGACAATGATAAACTGCCATCCAAAATCCGTCAGAAGCAAGAAATTACATAATATCAATTATATATTAAAAAAATGGTGGTCGAGCAAGGGGGAGAGCGACCTGAGTAAAAGTGAGAGGCATGAGAGTGAGCCCCAGACCATTTTGCGGCTGGAACTCGTTGTGAAACACTGAGCAAGCCAAGATTAAAATTCATTGGAATTCGCACACCATGGTGAAACACAGAAGCAAATCCCATAGCTTTTGGAAAACCGAAATCTTCAAGGAAATAGATGCGAAAGAAGGTTGATGTTATCCGCAGAAACTCAGTTGGCAGTATAAGGAAGAGCCTGCAGAGTTTGGGCTAGAACCAGAAAGATAAGTTGTTGTTTTCTAGTTTGCGTTTGAATTGGCCAGTAGCATGGGAGTGGTTCACACTCCACGAACTTCCTCAGTCAATTACGAACCATTCGTGTCGGGCCTTCGACGATCAATGTCCGCGAGGTAACCCGCACCAGACCTAAAAAATGAAAGAAAAAATTATATTTTTTTAAGGGTTTTTTTTCCCCCAAATGTAACTGGCTTTTATTACCGTGCGATGTGGGGAAAGCAAAAACTATATCAAATTGAACACCACATTTTATATTTATTTTTTATTGATACTGTGTTAGTTGAGATATCCATTGCTTCATCACGTAACAAAATGTTTTCATAATACAAAAATATTCCATCTCATTTATTTGCAACTTCCATTATCATTAAAAAAAAATATTAAACCATTACTATAGCTTCATGAAATCAAAATAAAAAAATGTTAATCTATTACTACAACTTTATGAAGTAAAGCATAAAAGGGATGACAATCAGAACACATACATAACATCTCATGAATCCAAGTTTCTAAAAACCTTTCTCTAAATAAGATTCATGGTTGTTCTTCTACCAATATTTTTCATAATCATAAAACAAAATCTATAATTCATCTATGCTACTTACCTTGACAATGTCATATAACATGCTTTTACTTCCCTATGAAATGCATGGGAAGATTATACATCAATACTGATCAAATATAGTGATTATTTTTATAATAATCCATTGATTGCAAGATTTGCTTGTTTTGTCATCTTTTATGCGAAGAAATTATAATTATTGAGCATCTTTGTATGATATTATAGTGTACAGAATTTTATTTAAGATACAACATCTTCATCTATATTGTATATATATTTTAAATTTAAATATAATGCCTTCACTTTATAATTTAAGAACTTTTCATTTTTATTATATTCATACAATTATTTTTATTTTGAATGTGGCCAGCTTTTATTTTCTTGTGCAATACATGATGAGATTATAATTAATTTTTTTTTTATAGAAGAAAAGCACCAAGTTAGTTGCTCGGTGTTAATAGTTAATGCATGAAAATTGAGAAATTAAATTAGCTTGCAACTCCAACTGGATAAATTGGGGAGGTATTGTGAAAAATGAAATTCCGATGCCTCTCAACTGAGACATCTTAGCCAATTTATCAGCAATTTTGTTCACCTCCCGATTACACAATTTTATGGAAGCAACTGAATCCTTTTTCATAAGGTTACGTGTTTCTAAGAAGAATTATAATCACGACACAACTAAATAAACTAAGTGGAATTATATAAAAGATCCGGTCCCGATATGAAAGTAGTCCCATCTTCAATTCTGAAATGAAAATTATGTTTTCCTCATTTTGCGCCCTCACTTAAAGTGCTATATGTTATGACTTGATTTATATCTCCTTCAGTGCTAGAGGATACCTTATAGTTTCAGTGGAATTATATAAATCGTATAATTTTGGTAGAATTGATATATAATATTTTAAGTTGTATATGAAGGAAACAGGCTTTGAATGTCAAAGGACACACAATTCAGCTAAACTGAAGTTTCGCTGGCCAAAAAAGCTAAACTGAAGTGTCAAGTGTAGCCATTTGATATCGACAATAGAAAGCTTGAAAATAATGTCATGGAAACTTGCATGAGAAGATTTAACCATTTAGAACTCCACAAAATTTAGAAGAAATAAATTAAAGGAAGCAATATTAGACTCATTCAAATAGATTAAATCTAGCCAATCATATAAAAGCCAAAAAGAGGGGAGCAATCCACCTATATCTTGAAAAAAAAAAATCTAATTTTTGATGGTAAAACATGAGCAAATCAAAGATTATAATAAATCTTGTTTTGCCAAACATTATTCATGACATCCCTACTTGGAACTGCATCAGAGCAGCTTTTCTTGTAAACATAACAAAAATACTCAACCAAAAGGCAAAAATTTATAAAAGATATATTCCAGCCAAAATAGGGGAAAATTTGAATATGACATCTCTCTATAAGGACTTTAAAGGCATTGATCGGTTCTATGCTCCTCCATTTTTCCAACAATGTTTCTTAAAGTTGTTATATATATATATATATATATATATTGTTTATTAAAATATAAGATGCTTCATTCGGGGATTTTTTTTGAAACTCAGATATAAAAGAGGGCAAAAGGCAGATTCATGAAGAAACATCAGAAACACTAAAGTTGAAAGAGTTTAAGGAGATTCAATATGCTTTAGATACAATATAAAAGAGAACAAAAGTCTCATTTCTAGATCAATACGTGAATAAAATATTCAAGCATGAAACATCACACTAATGACAAGTTGGGAAAAAATTCTCCTCTGTAGAGCAATACACGTTCAGAAATAAAACAAACAAACTACCTCTACTAGATTTTCTAGAATCATTTCCCACGCAGAGTCACTTGTCATTCTGCTTCTCATCAAACCCTCTGAAGAAGATTTGTGTTCACTATATGTTAGTTCATTATATGTTGGCGTATCTCAGTGCCTATTAAAATTGGAAGCAAAAACTATGAACACCTAATGCTCCAAACACAAATATCATGGATGATTTATCATTATATAAAACCTGTAAGCAATGGCTAGAAACTCTAATAAACAAGAATTCATTACCAACTATTTGATATATTTGAAATTTTGAATTATGGTCTCAAATCAAACTTATTTAAGAGGAAAATTGAGCACAGGATCAAAAATAATTTATGGGAACGATAGCAAGCAACCTAAATAAGAGGGGTGAGTTACTCTTTCTCATTTTCTTTTTGATTTCAATTTCTCTTTTATCAACAAATTCGATCAAGTCCTTGAAAAACAAAGTTTTAATGAGCACCAAAAGTTAAAGAAAAATCAGGGTCCTGAAATAAAATTTTATGAAGAAAAATATGGAAAATACTAATATACTCATATTATACACCAAGTATTTTTACTTGGATCAATGGAGTTGAAGAGATCAAAGTTCATGGACAGACAGCAAGAACGAGAAGATGTATAAAAGGATTTCAGAATGGTTGAAGAAAGGGTAGAGGCAATGTTCACACCTTCCGATGCAACCGAAACCTCCTTTTCGTCCTCACCTATAACAAAGAAGGGGTTATTGAAGGATTAAAGATGTTTAAATGTAAGGTAACTACTGTGAGAAAAATTGCTTCTTTTTTTCAGTTGCGCAACAACTTGGGCAAAATGGGGTTATATCGAGAAACTATGGATTTATTAGTTTAAACAGGCACACCTTTTTTCGACATAATCAATGGAACTGAGGTTGTCAAAAAGCTACCCCATAGATGAGTTTAGAGTGGAGAAAACCATGGGTAGGGAGAATCACAATAGTAGTTGAAGGCTTTTACGGGAGGAACAGAGTGCCTCACAATGAAGCATGTCTCACGGCCGTTGGTCCTAGGCAGTAAATTGCCCTCAAAAAAAGTCCTCGTTGCTTGGAAGGGAAGAAATCGAATAAGCGAAGGATAGAATGTTAGAGAGAGGAAGAAGGGCTAGGAGTACCTCCGGTGATGCATGGTTCAGATTGAGGAAGAAGGGTTTTCTCAAGGGAGTGTGTTTTTATTAGGAAATGCATGAGGGAGTGGGTTAAAGAAGAGAAGTTTTGCATGTTGGACTATGGAAGATTTAGGCTGGTGAAAAAAGGTGATATTTTTATAATGGACTTCCATCCACTGTAATGTCACCTTAACATTATCAAGACAACATTTACATATCATTGTGATAATTAAGATTAAATAAAATTCCTTAAAGTTATCACAACTCAAGATTTAAAGATAATTAGTTTAAAATATTGGGATCCAATAAAACCCTTTTTAAAATATTGTTTGAGCACAAACTATGGTTAAAAATTAATTAAGAACAAATACAGAAGCATGGGAAACAAATCACTTCAAATTAGGCTAAAACGCCATTCTTTTGCAAATTTTGGATCCGTCCGCTGCGGTGGATGGCACAGAGGGATAAGTTCCTTGAAGGCCCAATACACCATGGTGCAACAACCATGCGTCGCAGTGTGCACCTATTGTCATGATAGCAGATTGCTGTCATGACAGCCCTTAAAATTTTTGAAGTGCGCCGTTTCACTATTCGATGTCTGATTTGAGAGATTCAAGTGTTCACATGAAGCTCTTTGAACTTTGTAGTTAATGGCACTGATCTCACTTCTAAATAACCATCCATTTAAAAGATAGACACTAGAACTTAAAATGATTTGTTTCACCTCAAAGCACACACAAGGGTGTCCAACTCACAATACCAAATGCTATTAATCCTAGAGACACTTTGACTGTCTCAAATGAACCACACACAATATAACAATTCATTCATATCACACAATTAAGCAATTACGCTCAAAATAACTACCAAACCCCTATTTGATAATAACAAATGGGGCGGATAAAATCCAACGTACAAATCAATTGATCATTTTGACGCACAAATCACTTGAAACATGTCACATATAAGTGTAACTTGGCTAAGCACACACACTCAACATCAACCTTAGACTAGGATACACACACCCTTATCACAAATTCATATTAAAGGATAGTTACAATAATGTTATGTTCTTATGTGGGCATTATATATATATATATATATTGATAATATTCATTACAATACCCAAAAAAAAGAAAGGGAAGAGCTATACAAATATGCTCTTCACTCTCCAAACATTCCTTCTTTCCCCTTGCCCCTACCGAAGCCCTCACTTGTAACATATAACTATGGGGTGAGATAAATGTCTTAAGAACCAATATAATTTATCAAATGCTTTTTATCACAAATAATTGTGATAAAGTATCAAAACTATAGTAATATCAAGTATACTGTATTTATGAGATAAGTTCATCTTTTCACAATAATTTTATAGAATTTCACATTAGTATGATCATCTAATCACTGAACCTCCAATACTCCTCAACATGAAACCATAAGCTCTCTTGGATTAACAACGTGTTAACCCGAGCACACTTTCGGTGTTAGAAATGCCTGGCCAAAGGTATTCTAACCCACATACGGATTATAATTTTTTCCTCTTCACATACTTGTGATAGAGGCGTCATTGACTCCTAATTGCACCATAGTAGGTACTAGGGAGTTGCCAGATTGCCCAAATGTCCTATAGTAATAGTCCATATAATGTTGCATCAGATGTCCCATGGTACTATCCTGACTATATAGATTTTTTCACTTACATATCTCCACAAACACACATCCCCCACATATCTTGGGTGAACTCTCATTCCCTATGATCATGCTCTTTTACAATTTTCACTACTTTACATCACATTTTCATATCACAAACTTATATATATAGTATATACATATTAATTATAATCAATAACATTTTACAAATCAATTTCATGCTAAAATCATTTACAATATCAAATTATGTACAAAACTTTTTAAAATCACAACTCTATCATTTGTATTTACTTCTACACATTTTTAATAGTTAATAAACACAATAAACTATATGATTATCTCAACCCTTTGTCACACAAAAAGGTTACCATAGCTCAACATTAACTCCACACATTCTATACGCATGATAAAGCTCGAGCAATGCTCAATCTACATAATTCAAGTGACAATCATCAATTATCACTCTAGTTAACTCTGAATTCACTAAGTTTTAAGTGTCTATAACACCTAAATTTCCCTTTCTCACAACATTAGCCATTCTCAAATACTCTAACCATCCTATTAAATATTTCAGTACACCAAATTCTCTAACTAATATTTCACATTGTCTCAAAATCCTTAAATTATACTTAGGGTTCGTCCAAACCCTTACAAAAAATTCCTAATAACCACAAAACTCATAAAATTAAGGTTAGAGACTTGATTTAACTCTCCAAGACCTTAAATAAACTAATGGGTTCGGTCTAAACCTAAAGGAACCAAAATTAAAGCCCCCATTGCACTAAATGTTTAGATTTTCTGTATAATGAGGGAAAAAAGGGAATGTGCAACTTACCCAACGGTAATAGCCCAGGGATCTTGCCCTAATATACCACAAGCTTTCCTTCATCACTCTCTTGTTATCCCTCTTCCTTTTTCTATTTTCGATCTGTTTTTCGTGTCTGATAAGTGCAGATTTTGCACATGTACCGCGGCACATTAACAAGTCCGTCGCGGTGCATGGCACAAAAAATTTCATAAAATTTTAAACTCTCTTCTGTGCCATGGCCTACTTGAACATCGATTTAGCCCTCTTCTAAGGCTGCCAAAGATCTAAAAATCATATTAGTCTCTTATAAACCTTGCTAAATCAATAATTTATCAAAAATTGACTAAATTACCTTTAAAAACAAAGATAATTACTAATGAAAAAACTTAAGATGTTACATCCACCATCCTTTACAAAAACTTATAGAAAAGAAGTAGACAATGTTTTTATCTAGGGGTTTCATGTTTTGACCAACAGTAAAATAAAAAGCCCTCACCTTATTGAAAAATGACTGACCAGATAAAGATGACATACATTGAATAGATCTCAAGGACTCTTTCACCTCTCTATTATAAAATGACAATTTTACCCATAACTATCTTTGACAAGGTCAAATTTTCGAGAGGTGCTCAGATCACGTGATCTGTAAGAGCCTTAGATGGCTAGTACACAAAGCTCAATGACTGCTTTCATTCTTTCTCTGCTGCTTTAAAGATTTTCACTGAGTAGGCTTTTCACAGAGCCTAATACAAGCCAACACTGTTCATAAGGAGGGTTTTAATGGAACAAATTTAGGTGATATATTGATGATTCTAATGCAAGGATGAATCTAGAATTCATCACATGGGGGCCAAAATTGAAATCTTTTCTAAATGTGAGGGGTCATAACTAAAATTTTGTTTAAACGTAAAAAGCGAATAATAATTTTTACATTTTTTATAAAATAAAATAATATTTATTTTTTAAAAAATTTAGGGTGTGGGGGACCACAACCTTTACTGGCCCCCCTTAAATTCGTCACTGTTCCTATGGATTAGGAGCTTGTAGTGTACTTTTCTCTAATACTACTTATAATGTCTCAATTTTTAACTTTATTTTTTTAATTATTAATTTCTTTATTAAATAAAAGATGTTTTAATTTTAATATTTGAAGTCCTAAAATGATAAATATTTATATTTTTTATGATTTTTCTAAAATAAACGGGTGTAATTGTAATATTTTTCTTTAAAAAATTATAAAAAAATATAAATATTATCATTTTAGAACATCAAAATATTAAAATATTTCTTATTTTATATAAAAGCTAATGATTCAAAAAAATGAGAAATGAAATTGAAAAGTTAGATCATTATAAGGAGCATAAAGGAATGACAAATTAGAGGCCCTAACCTAATTAGAACCCAAGTTAACAATAATAGAGAAATGTTGTCTAAAGCAGCACCTACAAACAAATAAAAAATACAAATATTAAACAATAGCCATTCACCTTTGATTTTAAAGAATGACCCATGAAGAAAAGCATGAGCATCAGCCACAGAAACAACTATTATGATCAAAAAATCAAAAGCAAAGAGCAAGAAAGAGTTTTAACTGAGTCAAAAACCCTTGATTGATAATTGAAAGAGAGTTTCTGTTTTACTACTCGAGAAACAAGAAGAGGTGCACCTTGCAAGGAGCAGGCCCATGTTGCTCCTTGTCAATTATGAAGTGGTAAAGTTTCTTGAATAAACATATAAATTTAGTTGTGAACTATTTTATGAGAAATTCTAGGTATCAAAAATACTATATAATGATGCAAAATAACTCATCAATTATAAAAAACAGAGTGTCCAGTAGCTTCCATTAATTTGCTCCTCAAGGTTATTTGAAGAGAGAGGAGAATGTTACTTTTGCAAACTCTCCATTCTTTGTCTCCTTCGAGATTAATCCACAGTTGTCCCTAACCCCACCAAGTTCCTCATTCCAAGCCTTCTTTCAACCCCACTTCCTACGAACTTCTTTTTCCATAACTTCATTCTAAATAATGTTGAACCCGAGTGCATTCATCCATACCTCATCAAACCCTCCATCTCTCCCTTACCCATCTCGATCTTCCATAATTTACTTCTGTATCCCAACTTTTCATTGTCAGTCTTCCGTCTGCCTTAGAGAAATTTGTTCAACATGATCATTCATCGTGAAGAATGTCATTTCCAAGTCTCAGATATAAGAACCTCTTGCCCAGCAATGAAAAGCTCAACGCAAGGCCACCAACAATCAGAATGGAAGCTATTGAATTGCTTGTATCTGAGAGCTTCATTGGTGTTGTCATCACTGTTGTTGCGTTCTGAGAGATCGTAGGCTCACGTGCGTGTGTCACAGTACACAGTGACTCTTCCTCCTTATTAGCTTTAATGGCGTGGGAAATTACTTGAAATGCTCTTTACACTACCCGGTAATTATATGAAATCCTTTAACCTTTCTATGCTTTACCAATTGTTCGTAGATAAAATCCAAGCGTGATGGCCGATAATGGTAATCTCGTGATTGGATGTTAGTGAACTGTTGGTGCTTGTAATGGGGTTTTTTGTTCTTGGGATAGCTTTGATTGCTTGGTGTCAGCTTGCTTATTTTTCCAGTGTTATCAATTGGCTTGTTTTCATTTCCAATGTGTGAAGGCGTTGAGATATGGGACAAGATGAGAGAAAACATGAAGCATGATGAAGAACCGAAATAATGAAACCTAGACAAGATGGGATTTGGAGAGAGGGAGAAGGTACTATCACATATGAAATTCAAGTAGGCCCCATAAAGAGAATAAATGCTAGTTTGGTCAAAATTAACTCTTAGTGCAAGGCGATTCGTTTCAATAGCTAATGATTTATTTTATATCATCTTATATTATAGAATATTAAATATTTTTTAAAAAATAATTTATGATTAAATTTGAACTTCTATCTAATTTTTTTTGAAGCTTAAGTCAGTAATTTTTTTGTGTGCCACAAGGTCGATAAAGTTAAATTATGGTCAATTTCATCATAAAATATAAGCAATTATATTATCCATAATCCATGAATTACAAATAATATGAATTTTTAAACTTTATATATTTGTTTATCAATATTTCTATATATTTTATTAAATTTTGTGCAATTCCATTGTATTTTTAAATTATTTGTTATATATTTTAATAAATTTTATAAACATTAGATTAAAAATAAGGGCAAATCTTATGTATTTAAGATTATATCCTTAATATACTTTCTTTCAATAAATTGTTGCCACCTAGATAATTTTTCTAGCTCAATGAATATCCGGATAACAGAATTTTCTATTGAGCTTTCAAAAATGAAAAAAAAAAAAAACCTAATTTTTGTCTGCGATAGGAGCAAGATGGCCAGAAGCGAGGGATCAATCAACTATAGCTGCCCCTAACTTCTCTTCACTCAAGGCACACTCTAACGATTCATGAAATGGATGACGGAAGCCAACGTGAATGTTTTTATCATTATATGAGTGGAAAGACAGGGAGAAAAGCGTTGATTTGCTTTGCTTTGTTCCAGGGATGCACACACACACACACACACACACACAAACCAAAGCCCTCACTTGTTCCTTCTCTTCTTTCTTGTTTTGCTGTAAGAGCACCTCATGGCAACAATAGGAGAGTGTCAAAAATATCAGCGAATACAGGGATTAATTGGGACAAAAATTAGATTTATTTATTTTCTTTCAATTTTTAAAAGCTAAATATGGACGACTTGTTAAGAAGAATTAATTAGTGAGCTGGAAAGATCATTCAAGGTAGCAGCAATTCATTGGAGGAAAATATATTAAAGATATATTTTCATGTATAGTACTCTCACATTTAAAAATATAAGACATTTTTTGAGGAATTATATGTTTAAAAATGTAAGGTATTTTTAGTCTTTTGAGATGTAATAATTATTTTTTTTAAGTGATTATATTGATAATGACTATATTTATTATAGGATATTTAATAAGAATAAATATAAAAAATAAGATTAATTTAAAAATAAATAATTATTTTATAAGATAAAATTTAATTAAAAATATTTATATTTTTAAATAAAATAAGTGTAAGTTTTGTCCAAGAATAAATACATGTCCTACCCAAATCAGCATGGCAAATAGGCAAATACTGAATCAGGTAGAGCCGATTTGATTTGCAGGTCTAATTGTTGCGGGAATCCTCACTCGGCCCAATTGCCTTTGCTTCTGGAGTGCTCCCTTCTCACGCGGTCTGCGATTCTCTGCGCGCTTCCCCGCTCCGATCTCCCAACCCAATGGCGACCAACACGGAGAAGCCGACTCTCGACAATCTTCCCGAAGATAACCCTAAGAAAACCCTAGATCTCGCTCAACCCCCTTCCACCACACCTGACCCCGATCCTTCTCAAGATTCGACCAATGCGTCTTCTATAACCCCTCCTTCGTCTCTTCAACCTCAGCCTTCCACCACCGACGCCTCTCTGAAGGGGGCTGCTGAATTGAACCCTCCTGTTGCTGAAAAGGATGCGCCGGTTTCCGATATCCAGAAGAAGATTCGCCGAGCTGAGCGGTTCGGGATTTCTGTGCAGTTGTCTGAGCAAGAGAAGCGCAATTCCCGAGCGGAAAGGTAGTGTTGTGTATATATATTCTCGTGTAGCCCTTTTCTTTTCGAGGTGCATGCAGGGCGCGAAGTAGTTGCGTGCTTGAACTCCATGTTTTTCACTGGATCTCTGGGAAAGATACAATATTTTGTTCTTACAGTGGTACTTGTTTCACTCCGTCGAATTTATTTCGAGGGTTTTGGACCCGAAGATCCAATAAACATTTCTTTTTGGTGTATGTGCGTTCATTTCTTTTTCATAGAATACATTCCTTAAGTGGTTGGCCACTACATTTGTTTGAAAGGTTTTACATATTACTTTTTTCTGATGCAGTTATCTGAATTTCATCTCTACGGCAATCATATAATGCAATGCTTTTTAATTATTTTGTGGTTATTTGTTGTATGTGTCAAGATACGTTACTTTATTATAGGAATTGAGCACCAATGGAAGATTAATAGCGGAATTGCTTCACTAACCCCCCTTTAAAATAAATCATGGAAATCTCCGATGTAAAGATCTTTTTCAGGTCCTAGATTATCTTGCAATCTCATTGGCGAGTATGAATATATTATATATATAATTTTTAATTCTTCCTCATCAGCTCATTGTGTATAAGCTTTTCCTACATCAATTCGTGTTGGGGCGCTGGGTATATCATGATAAAAAATGCTAAGCCGGAGGTACTTCGTTAGCTGACTAATGATGGAGTAGTGTGCGTCGAAATTTGCTATTCGTAGGTAGAGTAATTGGAGAGCTTTTAGGGTAAAAGTTTCTAGTGTGTTGGATGCTGATGAAGTTGAGTGCTTTGCTGCTTGGAATTATCTTAACCTTTCTTTTCAAGGAATATTACTTTTCTATACCAAACTCAATGGATGGATACCCTGTAGCATTTATCGGCTATATGTGTTTCTTATCAAGAGAAAACAACACTTCTTGTAGGTTTGGCACTGGGCCCACATTACAAGCACCAGAGACATCAAAATCCGATGAGTTGAAGAGAAAAGCCAGAGCAGAGAGGTTTTTCCCATTCTCACGTGGCTTAAGTGAATCGGCTGAATGTTTTTTATTTAGTATTCCATATCTTTGTTCTATTCTCACGGCTTCACATTGGGGAGTCTTTTTAATCATGATATAACAATAGTGTTATTTATCTCTTAACAGGTTTGGGATGCCTTCTCCACCTACGGCTGCTGACGAGGAGGCAAAGAAGAAAGCTAGGCTTGCTAGGTTTGCACCAGTTTGCAAGACTGATCCCTTGGAGGAAGATAAAAGGAAGGCAAGAGCACTCAGGTGCATATCATATTTAATTTTACCCATAACATAGGGGAAGTGTCTGTTGCAACATATAAAGAATTGAGTGTGCGGGCCAACTTTTTACTCCTTCATGACCTTTGCTATTAGGTTTTCAAATCCTCCGTCAAGTTCTTTACCCCAAGTTAATGGCACGGGAAACATTGAGACAGTAAGGCCCTTTTGTCTATTTTCTAAAGTGATAGAAGGAAAAAATGATGCAGGGTTTTTCCATTTGCCTTATTTTATTTTTTTGGCTTTAAACTAGAAGGCAGCTGTTGCTGGCAAAGCAGGAGGCGGGGCATGACTGGTAGCTTATTTCATTACTAGTTGAATTATATTGTAAGTTACTGTTTAGCTAGCTATTGTTCTAAACAAATTAATGGACTTCTACTCTTGTTACTTACCCCATTGGTGAATCCGACATTATGCTTGACTTTTCACTTGAACGTTTTTGCAGGTCTAGTTTTTGAAGCTAAAGATTCCCCTAGTGGCCTTCATACCGTGTGTACTTGTTGACATACTAATCCCTGGATGCAGCTACTTCTACTTCCTCTAAGACATTGCCGAGTTTAAGTAACTGAAAAAGATTTCTTGTGGTGTCAGTTTACTGGGTGACACCATGGGGTAATCAACGGATATCTTCAAATTGTTTGCTTATCTTAAAACCTGCCCAGCTCAGAATTTTGGAATCTACAGCCTAGAAAAGTTTTCATCTTTATTTGAGCACATAGATTAAGCTCTTGCCTTTTGCATGAAAGAAGCTTCTTTGGTCCCTTCACCCCTCCCCATCATTGCTAGGAAGTCAGTATCCCTTATATGCTGCTTGTCAAATGGCCATAATCATTGTGCTAAATGGCAATACCAGGTTGATTATGCTATTGCAGGATGCATTGTGATGCTAGTCTAGAAGTCCACTGATATCAAAATAAGTTTAAGTTGCATCATTTGTCCCTTTTTTTTTTGGGGGGGGTGATAGTGAAGATGGTAAGCCCATAAATAGCAGCGGATATGATGAACTCTTTTCTGCTTAATTCTTAGAGTTGACATCATTTCATTGTCAATACTGGTAATGCTGGTTCTCTTTCAAAAATGAATGAAAAGTTTGATGTTACGTTAATGAAAGATAAAAACCTGACATGATATTAAAAATGGCTATATTTTGGCATTTTTGACAGATTTCTTTCTCTCTCCTCTTCCCTTGTCCATTTCTGACTTGATGTTCACTAGGAATTGTGATGTCCTATGCTATGGTGCAATCTCCTATGGCTTTTTTCTTTTTTTTTTAAATCTTGTTTGAGAGTAGTGACTAAAGCACATTTACTTGGTTGTATAGCGCTAGTAAAGTGGTGTGATGGACTATGTTATGGTGCTTTGAAAAAAGTTCAATAGCTTTTGGCCTAGAGTTAGTGGTTTACATCACTGGTTTAGCACAGATAGTAGTTCATGGTCCTGACACTGTTTTCTGGCCTTCATTGGAGAAAAACAAGGTTGAAAATGATTAAGCTGAATTTGACAAATGAAAACTTGGTATGGTTAAATTCTGCGGATGTTTTCTTCTAGAATCTGAAATTGAGGTTATTTTGAGGCTGTAGATTCCAATTTTTTGATCTTTGCAGCATTTTGTTACAAGTAAACTCTTTGAAGGTGCCACTTAGTATTCGCAGTTGCCAACTTTAGATTTGTACATTCAGCTAGATAGGACGGAAGATTGGGGGTGTCTTATTCCTTCTTCTGTCGTCATCTTTTGTAACATATTTTTCTAGTTTTTCGTTTGGTAGAAATTCTGGAAGTATCTTGTGTCTGGGGGTTATTTGTGTTGCTAGTTAGCAATGATGAATAAAAGGACCGAGAATTCTTGTTGGGGAATCATAAATTTTTTGTTCTAATCGTAATTGCAAAATTTGTGCATCTATGCCAGCTTTTAGCCGTGAAACAAAAGCTTTGGCTAGCACTTGTTTGTTTTTAACGTTGCAGTTGTAATTCGTTGTCATTTGAGACGAGACGTGAATGTTTCCTGTGATGGTGGAACCAGACAGATTCGAGAATGCGATCGATCCTTTTGAGATGGAGTATGGTTGCGACTGATGTGAGTTTTGAGAAGGGTTATTGCTTATTGCTTATCGTTGTTGGGTGCAGTCAATATTTATGCAACTGGCTTGGTTTGCCTTGCTAAGTTGCTATTCGGGAAGAGGTATTTTCATGAACCGCGTGCTATTTGTTATACTGTTATGCGATAGAGCCGCTGAAACAAGAGGATATAGCGAGTAGCGAGTAGCGAGTAGCGAGTAGCGATCACTGATCAACAAATTAAAAAGGTTGTGTCAGCCTAGATAACCTCTTCCCTAGGTTTTTAGATTTTTCAGCACCCAGCTCCAATATCAAAACTCTTCTACGCTGTCAAATTATATTATAAAAGTTTAGGTCACATTTAGTTATTAGGAAAAATAGAATGAAATTAATTGAAGAAATTAAGATAAAAATAAATTAATTTACTTTTTTTATGAGAAGTGTGAAAAAATTTATTAATATTTATTATAAATGTGGGAATTATTGTATTCTTTAAAAATTTTATAAATCATAATTTTTAATTGTTTGAATTAAATTATTTCTCCTTCTTTATGAATGTGTTCACTTGTTTTTTTTTATTATCTTATTTTTATTTTTTTTATCAACTCATTTTATTCCTTTCTTGTAAGCAAACATGATCTTAGTGTATTTTAAATAGTTTGGCTTATTATGAATTTTACTATATATTGATATTTATTTGTTTTAATGAATGCTACGCAAAACGTATTTTAATCTTGTAAATTGAAATTAGATGTGATATTTACTATGTATCACAATTAGTTTAAATTAAGTCATTATTCATATTATATGTTATGGTTTTATAAATTACGCACTTGACATAAACTTCTAAGTATAACGTTACATATAGTAATTATATTTTATTAATTTTTTTGGTGGATAATATTTTGAAGTTACACGCACATTAATTTGGCATTCCAAGCGTTAAACTAGTTATAAATTTTTTATTTACTTCAGTTCATTTCCATATGAATGATCCTAGACAAAATAAATAAATGCTTTCTGTGTTTTATTTTTTTAATTGAGTCACCTATTAATTTTTTTTTTTGGGGTAAGTTCTCTCTCTCTTTTCCATTGAATGTTAGAAATAAAATGTATTATTAAAATATATATGTTTAATATGAGTAAAATTAAAAATTTATTAAATTTTTTAAATAGAGTTAATAAAATTTAAAATTTTTTATCAAGTGAAATATGTTGGAGGTAATTTATAGATAAGATAGTTAGTCTTTATTTCTTTCTCCACCCATAAAGACTAGTGGCTTGTTTGGTACGATTGAATTGGAGGGAAGGAACTAGGAAGTGAAAGTGAAAACTGAAATTTGTGTCTGGTAAGCATGGAAGTGACTTGTTTATGGAACTAGGTGGAACTGGATTAATTCTCATGGAACTGACCATGCCTTTGTTTATGAAATTTGAGACACTTCTGTCCCTTCATTCTTTCAACCTAACCCTTTGCCTTCAACCATCGATATCCCTTCCTTCCCTTCCTTTTGCCTGACCGACATCATCTCAGGCCTCCTTCCATCATCAGTGTTCTCTTGTCGTTCTCTTTCCGTGGCCGGCGCCATCGGTGAGAGTGGCAGTGCAGAAGCCGGAAACAATGGTTGTGCAGAAATCCCCTCTCACCACTCTCAAAACTTTCCGTCTCCGAGGATGCGAGCGTCGATTTTGTTCAACGAGAGTGAAGAAAATAGAGTGGGGAAGTAGGGAGCAACAACGACGGAGATCGGAGTAATGGGGGTAGTGAAGAAGGCGGGCTTGAGGGCGACGGCAGACAAGGAAAACTTCAGAGTGAAGCATTGACGATGAGGAACAATGAGCAGGAGAGGTTTGGATTGATACATATATAGGTTGCCACTGGTGTTTTTTACAGATCTGTATCTCTGGAATTTTTTTTTTTTTGTTTTTTGGTGTGATTGCTGAGGAACAATTGAGTTTATGTTTTTTCGTTGTATTTTTCTGCTGGTTCATGCTCTTCAATGAATGTGGAAAGTTCATGTATTTTTCTGAAATCTGGTTCATGAGGAAGTTCATGTTTGTTGGGTGTTCCATGATTTCCGTAGTTTAGGGCTTGGTGCAGTGATGGTTGTGAAGGTGGAGACCCCTTTTTTTTAATTTGATGGGTATAATAGTCATTCGAAAATATAAATATATTTTTTAAATAAAATTTTTATCTCAAGTGTATGTCAAATATATTTTTAAATTTTACTTTTATCCCTGCTTTCATTTTCATTAAATCATTTTCCTATCCCAAATAGGACATAGATATTTAGTAATTTAAGAGTGTTCAAAATCAATTCAAATTGATCACACTAAATCAAATGAATTTGAATTGATTAAAATTGATTGTAAATGAAGTTTAGTTTGATTTTTTTAATTGATTTGGTTTTGTTCAGAATTTTGCTTCTAAAAATTTAAACTAAACCAAATTAAATCTTATTATATTTATTATATATTTTTTTATAAATTTATCAGAGTTTTTTTCCTTTACCAAGCTTAATTATTTGTAAATTATTAATAAAAATAAGTTATAATTAACTAAATGTTATTTATAATTGTTTGAGATAATTTTATAATCAAGTGTTTTAAAAATAATATATTAATTTTTAATAGTTGAATATGTTAATTAATTATTAAAAAATTCTTTTATGTTCAAGATATTTTTTTATGAAAATAATAATTAATAGTTAAAAATTATCAATAAATATAAATATATATTGATGATTATAAAAAATATTTTATTAAAAATGTTTAAATTTGATCAAAACCTAAATCAAACCAAATAAATTAGAGAAAAAGCTAAATAAGACTATAATGAACTGATTGATTCGGTTCAACCGAACCTGTGAACGCCATTATTTGGCATGATCTCTCTGAAGTGAATGAAATGAATGCTTTAAAACGATAAGAGGGAAACTGTTAAGATTAGACACACATACTGTGTATTGCATGAAATGAGTTGCATTAGTTCTTGGCATATGACTAATTTTATCGATTTTATATTGCGAGAGAGAGTGGGGAGCGCAAAATCTGCTCTGATTATACACTTCATGGGTGGTGATTAACGTGTGTATGCGTGACCAAGTTTTTAACATTTCATTGCTATTACATAACTTGGGTCATCGATAAACCCCCCCCCCCCTGGGTAGTTTAGCTTGAAATAGATGCTGCACTTGTGGGAGTGCGATGCGAAAGGAAACAATCTATATATCTGCTTTGTACAACAATTCTCAAACAGCGATTGAAGGGGATCATTTGGGCTATGGATTGGCGGGCCAACCTGCTCTGATTGAAAGAGGAGAACCCCAGGGAGAATTATTTTCAATGAGTTTGGGGTTTAGAAATACAACTACTACTGTTATGTCATCATGGAAGTGCCTCCTCACCCCTGCTTCTATCTTTTCCAGGTCCGCCAGTCTCATCTCTCTCTTCTTTGCTGCTTCTCTCATCGCTGCTTTCACCAGCCTCCTCGCTATTCCCTGTTCCATCAACACACCTCTCACTGTTCATTCCAAGCACAAGCTCTGAAACACACACACACACAAAAAAACATGATCCACTACATTTGGAAGCTTACATTACGTGGGTAATTGCTGACTATGTTAACAGCTTCTTGATTGCTAAGGTGTTCCCACAAACCGTCTGAAGCAAATATGAGAAACTGATGGTCAGGATGGAGTTTCTGCGTTGATATTGACGGCTCACAGCTAAGAATAGGCTTGAAGAATGGTTCGGCCAATCTAAACCTCAACGGCAGAGGCTCTCTGTTAAATTCTGCCTTTTTCAGATATGCATCGCCTATGGATCTCGAAACCTGCAAAAACACAAGCTTTTGTAGTTAAACAGGGTATTTGAACACCGTTGGTTCTAGGCCGTCCAAAAGCTGATATTGTTTTCTTGCTGTACCTGGATGAGGCCTTTGACGCGCCAAACTTGGTGTTTGAGCACCACGATTTGTGGATCAAAGGGGTGCTTTGATCGAACTTCATCTCTCACCATTTCTATGTTAACATTGTGTTCTGCAGATAACTGAATAGCTGCTACTTCTCTTGTAGCCCTCTCCATTCTTCCTAGCACCACTCGAGAGTCTCCGGAGTTTGCAATATATAGCATCCCATTGCAGATTATCCCCACTAAACAACACGTCCCTGTGGATGCAATCTCTGGCTTGCTCATCCACTTTCTCTTCACCATGGACAGAAATCCTTCTTCTGTTGCACAATATGCCCTCTTTATGACATTCTCGGACACACCTCCTTCTTCACCTGCGAGTCCTGGATCACACGGCAAAATAAGTACTAACTAGAAATGTCAAAAACCAGATTAGTGTAATGATGAAGGTAAGAGCTTACTCTTGAGATTGGAGAAGAGATTGTCGGTGACGAACTGGGAGGCCTCGTATCCACCATGACCGTCGTAAACACCTATGAAGGTTCCTTGAGAACCCATATTGTTATCAATATTTGAAGTGAAGGGTCCAGATTCAAGCTGACTTCGATCCTCCAATGAACCGTTGGCCTGAACTACAGCCATTGAGAAATCCCCATACACATGGTTGCCCAAATCCTTATGCCATAACAACCCGTCAACCTTCCCGCTCCCTTCTCCATCTTCACCTTCCACAGATGGTTTCCAGCATGATTTAACCATTTCTCCTGGCAATTCGTCAATCTAAGAAAATGTTTATCTTTTTTTCCTTTGCATTTATATCACCCAAAGACACGATCTCAGACCAGGGAGCTATATACCCATCAGAAATGAACAAATGGGTATGGACTGAACTTGGTGAGATTTACATAGTTAGCATGCAAGTACAAAGAATATCGATATGGAGTGGTGATACTCCATCGCGTGTACCTTGGATCTGAGCTGGATGGGTTAACTGGGTAAGAGGGTGTGGGATATGTGAGGAACAGAGATAGCTGTAAGAGAACACGAAGATTCAATATGGCAGAGATGGTCGAAGATCTGAGGGATCAAAGGGAGCAATGGGATAGGAGAAGTGTGTGGATGTTCTTGACAGATGATGTTCCTCTTCAGAGGAGTGTCAGAAAGAGAGATCCAAGTTGAGGAAATGGAGAGAGATTTCAACTACAGAGTCTGACACTGTTATCCTTGTCCGTTGTCCCTTATGAATGATTTCGATGCTCGTGTGGCCAAGTGGGTTTCTGCGAGTCTTCCATTCCTTTGCCGAGATTTTCAGTTCCATCACCTTTTAAAGCGGCCGTCCTTTGTTTTAGGGAACTCTTTTCTGGGTTTACGTCATATTTTTCTTGGCTTACCTTTCGCGATCATTCACAGTTTGTGACAGGCAGGTTTTCACACACTATTATCGTTGCTACATATATTCATCTTATAGCCATACAAATTCTATTAACATTTCTCTCCATGTCGACTTTAATTATTGAGAAGCAACTTCTATGTAGGTTTGATTCCAGAGGAAATAATAAATATATTATATGCAAATATCTATATTAAAATAAATTATACAATTTCAATGAATTGTGACCGGGCCTTTTTTTTCCCTCTTAGTTTCACTTTATCGATTCTTAATCATCTTACTGTTTTGCGGAAACAAATGTAGGGGCCTAACAGATCGTAAAGTCAAAAAAGCATTAGTCACGTTTTTGTTTTCACTTTTGTACCTAAAAAAAATTAACAAGATGAAAGCCGAAAAGGAAACAAAGCAATGGCAAGGAAGCATGTTAGAAACGCCATGGAAACTCCACCCCTGAACTGTAGAACTGTAGTTATGTGAAGAGGGATCTGGCAGGATTATGCAGCACTGGCTCACCAATCTTGCCATATCAGTCAATTGTGAATTGAGATTAAGATTTGCTTAGGAGATGAAAATGAAGCCATCGCCTTTGTGAATAGATGTGTGTTGTAGCGGGTGTAATAAACTGGAGCTTTCTGATGGCGAAGGGTCACGAGGGTGAGAAAGATTTGAGGCTACGCAGACACAAAAACATGTGGTACACGTATCCACACACCTTCTTGGAAATTGCAATAATTCATGAATTCTCTAATATTAAGACACCAACATGGTTTTCTGATTCCTTTTCCAACGTCGCAAACTTAGTTTTCTCTCATCCATTTCTGAATTATGTTGCCGTTTTTCTAGCATTTATTTGGGGAATTGTTCGGCTCACTTGTCCCCTCCAATTCCACCTCACTTCAACAACACGTACCAAAATTGAACTACAATTCGATCAAGTTAAGGCTGTTATGAGTTGTGTTGCACATTCAGTTTCGTCATTTTGTGTGTTTTTTTTAACTAACACGCACGCACGCACGCACGCACATATAATTAAGCTGGAAACTCAAGTCAAGAGTGACAACTACACAGATGCGCTTACATTCAAAAATGCTTTGCATGCACTTGAATCAGAGGAGATCATGAGGAGAACAGTAGTGAACCTTGTTTCAGATACTTAAAATAGAGCAGTTTAAGTGTTTAATAGAGAATTTATACACTTGCTTGAAAGACTGAAGCTTTTGATTAATCATTTAAAAATTAAAGCCTAATTTGATGCAGTTTTATATTTTATATTACTATTGATCTTCTAATATGACCACTCATTTTAAAAATATGAAAGTATATTTTTGGTCATCTAGTTTTATATAAGATTTCAATTTAATTTTTAAATTTTGTAAAGTATTTTTTTAGTTTTTTAACCCTAACATTATTAATTTTAAATGATTATTTTTTACATCAATTATTATTATTTTAAAAAAATTAAACTCAATATTATATGAAAATATTTTATTAATATTTAAAAGTTTAATGTAAAAATTTGTTAGAATAAAACTAATAGTATTAAATTAAAGGACTAAAAAAATACTTTATAAAATTAAAGGATTAAAATAAAATATTAAAGAAATATTCTTTAACCATTTATAAAACAAAACCTAATGTTGTAGTTGTTTGTTCTGTTTTTCTTTTTCTTTTTGTTTTTTTTGGGCGGGGTGGCGGACTAGGCTTCACCGTTAGAGAAGGAACCATTATTGTGTAGCCCTGAAATGCGTTAACACAGAACCTTCTAGTTGGACCCTCCGATTCTTTCAAGTCTCGGCTTTCCAATCTAAAACAAAAAAATTGGACTCTCTAATCTTCTTTTACTTTCAACGATGAAAAAAAAAACAGAGCACACTCTTTCTGACTGCCATAAAGGAAAAGATCCAAACCTATTGGTCAAAAAATTAGCGAGTAATCAAGTATTTTACATTATTTTGACATATCACTAATGTTCATTGTTGCTCCTACATGTCCACCGATGATTTCGGGTTCAAATTAGTAACTTCGTTGTCCTTTGACAAGACATCAGGTGATGCACAATATAACCAAAGGCGCAGAAAAATGCATTTCCCCAGATCAGGCCTGCCTGACACTTGTAAGATTACATTGTACAAATTAAACTCGCCATGAAACTAAAAAAAATCATGTGGCCGAGTACTTATAAGCACCAAGTGTAATGGACTAATGGTGGCAAAAGTCACAAGAATCAAGGGACCTTATTCCACAACTCAAACTCTTTCTGTCAGGGAAAAAAAAAGAAAAAAGAAAAAGTGAATGGGGAAAAGCACAAGAAAAGAATATGGCCAAAAGAGAGCTCGGACCCCATGGCTCAAACCTCAGCCTGACAGCAAATCCCTACATCACATGGTTTATATGACAAGCGACACGCCAATAAAAAAAAAAAACAACTTTACCATCCAGCTAAGGCTAGTCATCTTATTATCTCTACTCTTTCTTCCTCCAGTTTCAGAGCCAACTAATCTCATTTCCAATCATACATCAACACGACTAGAAAAATGGCTTAGCATAATTACTATATCAGCGTGATGGCTTAGGTAGGGCCAACTTGAATCATATGCCTTGTTCCCATTGAGCATAGAAGTTTCTCCCTCGCGTGCCTCAATGCATCTAGAGCTTCAATTACACTTTCATGAACTGGCTTTACTTCTCTTGCCTCTTTAGTTGTTACTGGAAAATTCACTGGCACTAATGCCAGAGAGTTGTCGATGTAATCTCTGTCATCATCCTCGCACTCTGTCACTGAGGATTTTGAGCTTGAACTAGACTGCCTGAAACAAAATGCCAGTTTCAAAATTTGAAACCAAGCTTCACAGACACAAACTACTTAATTTATAATATTACCTGCATTCATCATTCTTCGAATCTTGAGAACTGAAATCTTTTGAAGATGATCTAGAGGTCGAACTTGAACACAGGACAGGGAAAAAGAATTAGCCAGCTTAAAGAAAAGAGGTTACAAGATAAGAATGTTTCAGTAAAAGCTATGACTCTGCATGTTGAAACTGGATACCTGCTATCATCATTGTTCAAATCCAGAGAATTTGAATTTTCGAGGAAAGAACAATCTGAATTTGAATCACGGGTGTAATTATCAGAAGCAGAACCATGAGAATCATGGCCTTTATCCATGGGAGCCGAGGGTTCTGAAACACTCTGCATTGCAATTTCTGACAAAGATGGGTTGGTTGTAAGAATCTTAGTTTCACTCGCCTCTGAATCTCTGGAAGCAAAGCTACCTGCGGGAGATCCGCAAAAGCTTGCAGATTTCTCCAGGGAAGATAATTGCTCCGATTCTTCTGATGTAGAGAATAACTTCAGGGACTGAAGCTTTTTATTCAGCTTTCTGAGCCTTCTCTCCGCTCTCTCTCTTAAATCGATCTCATCTCGAAGTTTCTTTCTAACTCAACCAGCTGCGCAACACCCAAAACCCCAAGAAATTATTATTTTTTAGCAGATAATAATAGATACGTGGAATAAAGTTTTGTCAGTCAAAAAGCTTCACAATGTGACTCACGAAAGTGATAGAATACCTTGTTGCCCATAGACTCTGCTTCCTCATTTGCAGCCCTAGAAGCCTGTCTCTCGGAGAGCAATCTTCCTCTGAGGCACTCGACGGTATTCAAACCCTCATCTGCCTCCATTCTCTTGCCCCTAAAATAATCCACACAACAATGTGACTCCATTTTCATGTACAACCCATTTCAGACTACTCGATGCAAAACAGAGTATAAAATACCTACCTCAGTTTAGGATCCTCCATTCCGGGATTAGCTATAGCGTGCTGATCCCCCGTGCTCTGGTCGCAGCAAGGGCTCATCTTTGTGCTTGGCACGCAAATGTTGGGACTGGGCTTAGTCGGATCAATTCAGACTTCAGAGCCTGAAATAAGAATTTCAGCTTCTCAAATTTGGAGAATCCGCGTTGAAATTAAATTAAGAAAAAAAAGACGCTATATTTGGGAATTTGAAATTGAATTTGGGCCTGGAAGTTGGAACATTACTCACAGGAAATAGCAGGTGATTTTGAAGCGGGAGCGTCAGAGTGAGGGTGAGAGTTATAAATATCCACATCTCGATAACTTCTCGTCCTTGTTACCGTCACCAGACGCAGTTTTTATATCTGCAGGCTAATTCATCATTTTGTGCTTACGTGTATTTTTTTTTTTCAAACTTTTATTGCACGTTAGTGTGTTTGTATATACTCTCCACTTTCGCCGTAATTCACTTATTAATAAAAATTTTATTTTTAAAAAAATATATATTTCTTATTTTTACTTCTAGTCTTAATTTATGATGAGTGAAAATAAGATCATAAATTCACATTAAACATAAAAATATAAATTAATAAATACAATAGATAAAATAAAATGAGAAATTTTTTTCACAAATATTAAATTATTTATACTTTCAATAAGACTACATTGAAAAAAATAGTTTATAATTTAAACAAAAGGGGTACTTTTTGTCGGTCACATGTGTCTTCCTATTATTAATAATTCAGTTCAAGGTAAAATTATATACTAAATATAAACACCTTTTTTCAATAAGCGTTTGAATCTTAATTTGTTACAATATATAAATGATTAGTCATTTTTGTTTGATTCACCTGTACTGCCATTGTGCTTTTATATGTTGAAATCAAGGAAAAGTAGGAGGAAATATTTTTATTTTTACTAATTATTTAGGGCGGGGGTGAGTTGCTCTTATGAAACTCGTAGTAGCTGAGTTACAGGTCATACATCAGTACTCGTTAATACTTAATGGTGCAGCTTTCAAAAATAATTTGAGATTAATTCAAGTGATTAAATTGAAATAAAGTGTGATTAGAGGTAAATAATTCAAATATACTCTCTTTAATATTTGATATAAAACACTTTCAAATCTCAACTAGTTCACGCGGATTTAAAGTTAAAATAATTTGTATCATTAAAATTGTCAAAAATTATCACTACTTTTTAATATTAACCTTCAATTAAAATTAATATAAAACAGTGGTCTCATTGCCCTCTGGCACGAGTTTCACCCTCAATGTGGATAGGTTGTGAATTCAATCTTATTAGCTCCTAATTACATCCTAACTGCTTTTATTTTTTTAATACATCTTTCTCTGCAACACAATTAATAACAACGTTTGTTGAAAAATAAATCTGATGTTTTTTATTTTTTCGGAGTGTCTTGTACTTAAAGTAACGGAAACCTCTAATATCAAGAACACACACACACTAGTATAATCGTGCAACTTCTTATATTTTTTTTTTCATATTCATGTTAATTTATACTGGCTCATATAATATTAGTGTTTTTTCATTATTGTACTTTCATGGTAACTAAAACAATATCTTTTGATTATTTTAAAAACTCGAAACATGGGCTAACTTTTTATCATAAAAATTATTATTTTATTCGCTCTTTTGCGTACCAAATTAAATCAAGCTAACGATAATTTTAGGTATACTGAATTTGCGAACGTTTTGTATTCATTGAAGGCCAGCCTAAAAAAACAAAAACAAAACAAAAAAAACAGCATTGTCGGCATCTAAATTTGTTGGTCATGATTATTACTTTCTCTCTACGGCTCTTTTGTGCATTGAGGATCTACTGGCATTTTAAACATTTATTAAACTTAAAAATATTAAATGAAACTCTCTTAAACGATTTTAGCTGATTAATTTAACTATAAATATGAAATCCGGCAAAACCCCAAGAGCCAAGAGTTTGCGTAAAGCAATTTCTGTTTCTTTAGACGGCCTAAAAGTTAACACCCCGAGTTGTTATCTTATTCTTTAATTTCCATGTATGCAAATTACTTAGATATTAACAATGACGTCGTCTGGCCATCAATTAAAAAAATTATATTATACATAAAGTTAGAGTAACAGATGTAAGAATATTAAAATAGATGTGTGGATATACACATAAAGATAAAATTTAAAATGAGAAATAAGAAAAAAAAATGGGCGTGACATCTATTGAAAAAAAAATTATAGAAAATTGTTTGAGGTGGTTCGGACATGTACAAAAAAGATCACGGGAGGCACTTATGAGAAGAGTAAAACAGATGACTTTAAGCCTTATCAAAAAAGTTAGAGGAAAACCAAAGATAACACTTTTAAAATTGTTGAGTGAAACTCTTTAATTAATAATATTTTAAAAGTTTAATAAATGATAGAGCACGATCGTATTATACAATTCATGTAGCTGATCTCATCTAGTGGGATTAAGCTTCTTGTTGTTGCTGTATACTTTTTTTCACTCATCAGTCTTGTTCTTTGAGGATTATGTTTTCCAGTTTTAACTATCTATACGAATTACTAGAGCATTTATTTAAAATCTGTTAACTTATTAACCAAAGTGGTAAATTGGAAGGGACTTCGTGTAAACTTTAATTGGAAAATGGCCGTGTGAAAGGTTTAAAAAATGCGAAAAATCTTGTAGTTCGAGTTTCGAGCTGGACTTTATGTGACCTGATTAGCTCAAAGCAGCATTATATTAATTATTCCTTCGATTATCACATTGTAGTCATGATGGATGGGAAGGATTTGGCTTTTATTCAGTAATCAGTTAACTATCGAGGGAGAGTTTTGGATCCATCGCCTTGCTTTCCAAGGCAGGACAATGTTGATCTCTGATACTACATTTTTATTTCCATTACTCATACAAAACCTAAAAAAATACAATTAAATCGGTTTTGTTAATGAAAAAATGACTCCATCAAATATTTGCATTACATACTTAGCTTGTTGCCTTTTTGGGCGCCGATAAACTAAATTATTAGTAGTAGATCTGTTGATTAAATATCTTGTCAAGGCAATTTTATTTTTACGCTTTTAAATAGGTTAAAGTCGAAAAAAAAATATTTTCAGATAAGATTGACCAAGTTAATCATTTTTGTTTACATTATTATTAGAAATAACTTGTCATGAGGGCTAAAAGTATTCATTAAAGGAGTAGAAGTGTTTCTAGTCATCTAAAAGGTGATTCTAACAATCTAGATTTAAAACTTTTAACATGTAACTTTTTATATTAAAAATTATTTTTTTGCTAGAGAGACAACCATAAGATTATTTTTATTTTGAATTTTGTACCTATTAAAATATTAAAAAATTATCCAATATATTCTCATTAAAATGATCGTACGTCGAGTCACTTTTTAAAGGAAATGAGACAATGTTTGAAAAACTAAACTATGTCTATATCTTACTGGCTGATGTTAAACATCTAATAAAGATTCATAAGAAGATGAAAATGACCATTGACCTAATACAAAATGAAGAAGAAGTGACAAGAACAAGGCGCAAGAAAGCTATTGTCCATAAACCAATATACCAAATAGCGGGAACGACGTTCTAAGCCTTTTTTTTAAAAAAAAAAAATTATCAACTGAGTGATCAATCTTTTTCTTAGACGATGCGCGTAAGAGAAAATAGCTAGCTAGAAAGATTATGAAACCAGAGATTAAACCCATTTTTCTAAAACAAGAAGTTAAAAAGTGTATAAATAATAATCAACAGAACACGAGGATAAGCATTTAAAAAAAATAGAAAAAAAACTAAAACTCAAAACATACAACGCGACCGAAGTAGGTGGAAAGCTTTAAAGTGGTGGTTGTGAAAAAAATTACTATGAACGGTGTTTTACAATTTACACTCACATGACTTGACTGTTCATAAGTAAGTGACAGAATATAGATTTAAGAAACTAGTTGGTTGTTTAAAAAAGGAAAGAAAGAAGGAGTGGGTGGGAAGGAAGGGCATAGCAAAAATAAGAAATGATGTGGGTAAATGGTAAGTTTGCATTGCTTATGAAGACAACACTTAATAATAGATCCTCATCTCATGTGATACCATGCATTGCCAAGTCACTCTAAATGGCCGCAGCTTTAAGCCTCTCCCCACTTTTTCTCACTATCCTCATTAGAGCGGGGACCACTTCTTCACCAGAACAATATGGGGTCCAATTTCTATGCTGATCCCAAAAAAATATATATCCTAAGTTCATTTATAGAATAAGTTCTGAATAGTTTAAATTTAATATATTATTATATATTATATTTATTAAAATAAAAATTTATAAAAATTATAAAATAATTTTAATAATTTTTTTATTTTTAATCTGGACTAGATTTAATTTAACAGGTTCAATTTAATATTAAAATTTTTATCATTAATGTATATTGATCATTCAGACTTATTCTGCTCAGTAAATTAAATTTAGAATAAATTAAAAATAAAAAATTTATTAAATTTATTTTATACTTTTTATACATTTTTATTTTAATAAATATAATATATAATAATATAATAATGTTTTAAATTTGAACTATTCAAATTAAAAATTTAGATAGTTCAAATCGATGAGTAGGGAAACCAATCAATTCCAAACAATATGACAATGGGTTGCTATTTTCAAGGTCTTTAGTGTCATTCATTTTTTTTTTAATTTTATTTTGTTTCCCTCTATTCCTTTTCAGCATTATTCCTTATAATTTTAAAAACTGCACATATACCAATCGTGAATTGGCACCGACAGTAACCTTGCTTTTTGATGCAATAAAATATATTGACATTAAAATAAATTAACTATGTATCATTAGAGATCTCAGAAGCACCGATAACGTGAAAACGGCCGGCGTGTTTGTGTTGGATAAGTAACCAACACAGACATGCGTTCAAGATAGGGGAACGACACATCTCTTTTCCCAGTTTTCGACGGACGCGGGCAGATGCGAGTCAAGATGGGTTTACGCGGGCAGACACGGGTCGGATGTGGGCTGATACGAAACTCTGTGTTTTCACCTCTTTTTACTCAGTCCCAACTCCAGAAACCTAATGCCTTAAGATTTTCAGCTCCAGTCGACCCCTATCTTGTGTTTTTCACTCTGTCGCTCACTACCTGTGTCGACCGCTGTATCATTCTTCAACCCAACATCGTTTTGAGTCAGATGCGTTTTCACTTCTCACTTCGCATGCTGCCTCACTCTCATGTCTTCAACCTCATCGTTCTTCAGTCTTCAGTCTTCAGCTTCAATCTTGGTAATTTATTCAGCTTCAATCTGAGCTCTGCCCTAGTGTCTTCGACCTCGTCTCTATCTCTTCTGCTCTTCACTTTTTTATTGTTCAATGTTGTGCTGCTACCTGATGGATATTTATTGGGATTATTGCATTGCTGGATAATGAATATTTATTTCTCAATTCTTCACTGCTGGACCGAGAGTGGTAGAGCAACTGATCAGTTTTTCAAATTTAATACTGAATTACTGATTTAAACTTGTTTTATTTAGATGGATTATTTTATTGGATTAAACATTGATTTATTTTAAATTTTTATTGGCTCTCTTCATGTTAAAATTTTTATTAGAATTACTTTAAGTTGATAATTATTTTTTGCCATTTGATAGTGTTTAAGTACTTAACTATTTATTGTATTATATTTTATAACGGCATTAGACATCTTGAAATTGTATTTTTAGACATCCAAATATTTAATATTTAATTATTTATATAGCCGTACTCGTATCCTAAAATTTTAAAAAATAGTCGTGTCCGTGTATCGTATCGTATCCTACCCGACACTTGTACCTGTATCGGTGCTTCTCAGTTAGAGATAAAAGTTCAAGGGGACAAAAAAAAAAAAAAAAACCTTCATTGTATACTTGGATTGAGCAGAACATCAGAGACAAATACAAGATTAGTAACACGTCAATAAAATGACTGATAAAGTTAAGTATACATCAGCAAAATTAAGGCTGTTAATGTTAGTTCGTAATCCCTATGTGTATTTTTTAAAATTATATTGATTAACATTGTAAATAGATAAAAGAAAATGGATTAAGAATAATAAAATAAAATTATAGACATTAAAAATATATTTAACGTAATCAAAATACAAAACCTGCTCTAATATTTTTCAAGTGCGTCAATAGTTCGATGACCTGTTCAACTTAGTCTTTAATTACTTCGTCATTAGAAAAATGCAGCGAGACTCAAAAGATCAAGGAAATGCTCCACGTGTTGTATCCCATCATTAACCGATAAACGAAAGAGATCGCCACCCTTTGAGAATTAATTCAGCTTTTTTACCTATATACTGCACACACTAAAAGGAAATTACACAAATGCTGCAACGTCAAAAGTATTTATAAAAATATTCCACTAAAAATTATTTACATAAAAAATAAATTTGAGATTGTGAATGAGTCAATATTTAAGCCAAAAATAATTTTGAAGTTAAAAATTATTTTTTTATTCAATGAAAAGTGAAATTATTGATTAAGTAAATGATTTCAGCCTTTTTTATTGATGTGACATTTTATTTACTTTTGAAGATTTCTATAATGGCATTGGAGATATATCTGAGGATGTATCCAATGTATTAATAATGATACTGGGCATACAATAAGCTTTTCACCTTGTTCCATTTATACCATCTGTTTCTCTTTTTTAAAAAAAAGCATTATAATCTAATATATCATTATTTATCTTATGTTGACATAGTAGATGAGTTATACAAGTTAGTGATTAATTCTCATTCATAATGTTCTCATTACATTGATTATCAAGATAGGATTGCTCAAGACTAATGCAACATCTTACTTGCAATCAGAGAAAAATGATTTAATAAAAACCCTCAGCCTATTTTATCAAGAGTTGAATTGCCTTGTTCACATATTTCTCAAGATAGACTAGCGACATGGTGGCTACTTGTCTACCTAGCCACTAGTTGAAAATAAAAATGTAGGAAAATGAGAGTCTTAAAATTTTAATCAATTTTATTACATGCCAGCCTCATCATCATCATCACCCCCTTTCACCTCTCTTAATGCCAATCAATTTGAGTCTCATTACATGTTACCCTCATCATCATCCATTTTCAATTCACCCACTTCTATTCAATTTGAATTGTTCATGTCTTTATTTGATGATCCTATACTATTTTCAGTTGAATACAACACTTTTATTTTAAAATATGATGGAACATCATATGAAGCATATGCCACCTCTTGGCAGTTGATTTCTTTAATTGAATTATCTGGATTTGATTTAAATATGCTAATTACACAAATAAATAAAACACTTGAATCCCAATAAGAGAGAAACATGTAATAACAACGACCGTTACAAAATAAAAAGGAAAACAAGATGTGATACTAGAAGTCACTATTTTTAAAGTAAATTAATTTTTACTTTTCATTCATATAACTTAATCATTTATCATTAATTTTCATAAAACTTAATATTTATTTATTATTAACAATTTTTAATTTAATGCACTTATAATAATTTCTTTATCATATTAGTAACAATTATTTCATTCAAATAATTAAAAAACACTTAAACAAATGATTTGTCTAATAGTTGAAGAAGGAAAAAAGCTTATTGCAAACCTAATATTATTACTAATACATTTGATCCATTTTTGGGTAGATATCCAATACCATTGTAGAAATTCTCAAATGTGAATAAAATGTTATTTACATCAATGGAAAAAAAACTAAAATCATTCACCCAGTGAATGATTTCACTTTTTATTAAAAAAATAATTTCTGACTTTAAAATTATTTTTAACTTGAACCACTTATTTATAACCTCAAACTCGTTTCCCATCTAAATAATTTTTAATGTAGTATTTTGATAAATATTTTTTACATTGTAGTATTTGAATAATTTTTGTTAGTGTCTGCAGTATATATTGGTAAAAAGCCGAATTAATTCACACTCACGTCAGTTGGATGGCGCTTCGGCACGTATCATCATACTCTTGCAACGCAAATCGAATCACCATTAAATACCCACCTTCTCATGCACTCTTCATTCTACCCAATGCTGAGGAATGACTTGGATTTGAATCAAGTGATACAACTCTACCTCAACAATCAACGCAACAACAAAGTGAACAAGCAAATGGAAGCTACCCAATTATCTGCTTTCTCGTATCATTGTGCTTTTCTTTACCAACAAATATCATTCTGTATCTTAAAAAGGTTGTTGATATTTTGGCTTATATTTGTTTTGTTCATTGCCCGGTAGATTTATTTGATATGCTCAAATTCGCAGGACTCACTTGTGACCTATGCTTTTACACAGGGTCTAATGTTATTCAGATTCCATACCATTCGTGAATTGTGAATAATATGAATTTTTATAAATTTTAGATTTAAATTATATATTGGCAGATACATGGACGAGCGATAGAGAGAATTGATGAAGTAATGGGCCCAAAAACCGCGAGATCCCAAAACAATTGTGAGGGCTTGATTATCATTAGGCCTACTTAGTCAGAAATCCGTATTGAAACTGGGTCTGGTCCTGAGAGGAGCATACTCATCGACAAAAGTTATAAGAATTTACCAACGGACACTTGTTTGAATAGTTAAGAATTTAGATCCTTTAATTTGAAGTTTTATATTTGAGTCTCAGAATATGCAGTCGTGCAAGTAAGCATACAAAGTGCGTCTCACCAATGATATCCGCAAAACCCTCAAAGAGAGCCCCACTTATACGGAGATCTGGATAAGTCTGGATTGGGCTGGGTAACTAAAGAAGCCAGGATACCGGATGGGGGGGGAAAAAAGTTATAAGGCTTTTGCCTATATCCATTTATGATACTGCCATTAATTAAACATAATGCATTTATAGAGATAAAAAAAAAAAAAAAGAGGCTTTGACAGTTTGACATTGTCCGTGGCCACATCATTGTCCGTCTTCCTCGTATGGATGTATGCATGTATGCTGTGAAAGTTGATGGCGTTCATGACTAAACCAGGCTTTGCTTGGCACCCAGTTTGATTAACATTTCCCAGAGCCGTTGGATCTCTCCGAAGACATCATCGGACGGCAACCGATACCGACAGCAAGGGCACATGTCGTTGTTCTTCAGCCACGGCAATACACACCTCCAGTGAAACAAATGCTCGCACGGTAATTTACACACATCCCTCCCTACCTTCATCTCCTCTTTACATATCACACACTCCCTCCCTCCCTCCTTCAAGTCCACCGTCGGAAGCTCCACCAGGGTCTCCGCCGACGCCCCCTTCTTCCCACCGCGGCAGCTCACCCTCACAAGTCTCCAGCTCCGACTCACCATGTCAACGTAAGGAGCCAGAGCTGTCCAAGTACAGGTTCCCACGGGAGAATAAGCAGCTGTCAACAACTCATGAGAGAAAAGATTACACAAGCTGACCCGCCAATCTGAATAATTCTCCTCGAGGACTGTGGGATTGTGTTGGTGGGTTTCGCAGAGAAAGAGGAGGAGGAGAACAGCGTCGAGATCAGTATGTCGAATGGCGGTGGAGATGGGCGGCCGCAGGGTGGGGTCGGAGAGGAAGTGGACGGTGATGCGGTGGAGGGAGAAGAGGAGGTGGCGGCCGATGAGGAGGTACTTGTGGGGGAGGGAGAGAGAGCGGAGATGACGGAGGGTGGAGGAGAAGAGAGAGGGGGAGGAGAGGACGGAGGAGAGGCGGAGGTTGTGGCGGTGGGTGGCGGAGAGGAGGGAGAGAGAGAGACGGGAGAGTTGGGAAGGAGAGAGAGTGGAGAGTGCGGCTAAGATGGTTGCGCTGTCTTCCATCATGGGATCACGCGCTTGGCTTTCAAGATAGTCCGGTATTTGAGAATGGGACTTGAATGTGAAAGTTTTGAGGACCAATCTGTGCCTTTTTATGGACTTGGATCCAACATGGAACTTTGCAATGGTGCTGCAAGTCACCGGTTTTTCTTCGTCCTTCTTTTTATCCGCGCTGCGTGTAAGGTTCTTTATAGTGAACCGAGAAGGGGTGGTTGCTTGACCCCCCGTTTTTTTTTTTTTTGAAGAAATTAAAGGTGCTTCCATTATTGTGTCTTTCATTTTATCGCTGCATACCCACAAATTGTATTATATATATAATCTAAGATTTACAAAAAAAAAAAAAACGCATGACTATTACAACATATTAGCAATCTAGTTATAAGATATAAAGATACACATGCGACTCTTTAATTGCTGTTAATGGTAGAAATAAATCCCCATCCTAGGTCAGAACAAATTACAGAACAGACTAAAGTTTCTATTTCTATTTTTTTTCCAATCGGAGTTTCAGTTTCGGATCCCTCTAAGTTAGTCCTTTACTTTAAGTTTATTTTAATTAATTCATCTTCCCAGAAGTTCAGGGGGAAAAAAATGCAATCTTCATGATTGGAAAGATACACACACAGCATTCTCTTCCTTTCTGGAAGATAATCTATGATCAAGACCAATAACCAGTCATTCTTGTCACCTGGCTATTCAATGATTAGACGCATTATAATGACAATCTAAGGAGGAATTTTTATTTACTGCAATCTCCATTGCAACGCTCATATTTCCTAGCTACCAATGTGCCATCTTAAATCCATTAGCACGCTTCACTACCACATGCTATGATTCTATATTATACTGGAAGGCCAACCCAATCACCATATGTATTAGATCAATGCATGATGAGCATAGAAAATTTCCGACGACACTTGCTGAAAAAAAAAAAAGTTGGAGAAGTTTTGTCCACAAGTAAAACGTCCAGTTCAAGCACGTATCTCCCCGAACTAATATCCTTTTGGCTGTGTTCATCAATGAAAACTACATGGCTCCACCACTATGGCTGCTTCCTCTCGTCCCCGACCAAATAAATGAAAACGATAATGTAATTAACGCCCGAGAAAATATTGGTAAATTGCAACTCATCATAGACTCTCCTGGCCTTCTCATCTACAATCGCAGCCTTATTCTCAATGTCTTGTGATTATGCCATGATGCATCGGCATGGTCACTGACTATAAAATTAGGCACTGTGGGCATTTCCCTATATCGGAGATGGAGATTTACAGAGAAGCGCAAAAGCAACAATATTTTAAGTGATCTCGGATGCTTTACTAGCAAGTAAACTCTCCATTTTCGAGACAAACAAGGAGTGGAGATGTGAAAAAGGCAAAGCAAGGAAATGTACGTAGCACAAGCTAAAAAGAGTTTTGACTATAATTACTGATCCAAGTGATATTATACTTCAACAACTGGCTCTGACAAAGGAAATTCCCAGTACTCTCCTAAAGTTTCAATCTCAAGTCTCAACAGAAAGCGTCCCTTCTGTTGGGAATTGAAAGGGTTCCTTTGGGCTTGTGATTTATGAAACGATGGAAAATAACAAGATGGATCTTGAAATCTGTCAAGCACATGTTACAAGAATTAGAGAAATTTGACAATTCAGGTTTTGACTTTGCTGCCTTTGTCTGCACTTTATTATGACCATCGCTTAATAGCTTGCTTCCTCAAGTTTGCCGATTATAACAAATACGTGGTGCATTCTAGACTTGTTTCGAGGAGGAGGTTGCTGGATGTCTTGTGATGGGAGAACACAATGATGATTTGCTAGATTTGCATCTCCATCTCTGTTCTGTATAAAGGGTATTCTTCTTGTTGCTGGCAATCTTGATAAAGATAGGTCATGTTTACATATTAGAATTGAATGAATGAAATGAATTGAAAAAATAAAAATAAAAATAAGATAATTAAAGAGAATAGGTAAGCATATTTCATAAAAAAGAGGATAATTTAATTTATAAAATTAAGAATCATGATTCATTAAATTTTTGAAGGGTGTTATGATTTTCATGTTTTTAAATATATATTAATAAGTTTTATTAATCATGGGTAGAAAGATGATTTACTTTATTTTTATTTTATTTTTTCAATCCATTTCATTTTAATAAACAAACGTGACCTATTATTTTCTAAGAATAGTAATACCTTTAATGCGCCTTAATCTGACGTTTCAGAAATTTAAGGCAATAATATGAGCCTAAATTGTGACACTAGGCCACCCTCCAAAACTCCAAGCAGTAAATCCCAAGAAAAGCAAAATAGAAAAATGCAGGTAGGCCGGCAATTGATCAGCTCAAGCCTCGAGGAGACTTTATGCAAAAGCATTGATCCAGATTCACACAGAGTTCTAGTTAGAGAAGTAAATTCAACTTTAATTCAAGGTTTTTCAACATGTCCTGCAGGCTGAATTAGATAATTATCCGCGCAATGTTGATAATCTTGATCGAGTTAGTATGCTTCTGGAAGTTCCAAGGTTTCATGCAACAGATGCCATGATCATCCTAATGCTGCACTGTCACTTTTTTCCTATGGGATTCATGGAAGTTGAGAAGCGAGGTGCAAAGAAGTGAAGGAGAAGTGTTTTCATCCGAGTTGCAGGGTATAGTATATCTGCATATGCTATAAAATCATGTTTATTTTTTTATCACCCCAAGGCTTAAACTCCTCGTTAATTTAAATAAAATTGCGTGTAAGGCTCTAGCATATTTCTTGTGATATCTTGAAAGCAATCAGAGAAGAGAGCCAATTTCAATGCACCAATACAGTCATCTTGGAGGAAAATCACCAAGAGAGAATCCTACCTCAATCATATTACATGTTCATCATCTTATTACATTTTCACAGGCAGCTGGAGAGTCGTGAAGGAAACTCGCCAGGAGAGGATCCTGCCGCATATAGTTAACACAGTTAAACCTCAGACTACTTACAGCTACACTGTTAACACTCAACAAATAACTAACACTTGTTCTCAACATAACTTGATTAACCAATTGACCAGCTGTCTATATGTTATTATGACGGGACAGAATTGTAGAAGATATAATAGTCGTATTAATTATATAAGTAAATGGGAGGGGAGGGGGGAACAGAGAACCAATGCAGTCAAAAGAAACATGGGATTTAGGATAGCCAGGCCAATGTATTAAATTGCCGAGGTCACCCCCTGTTTCTAACGCAAAACTTGAGATCCCAGAAAGCAACACAAATAAAACAAGGCCGTGAGATTAGTCCTGTTCTCTGTCTGAAAGCAATGCTGCAGTTGTAGCAGTAATGCAAGGGAGGGGCATAGGCTGGCTACTGGAGAACCAGAATCGAAATTTGGCTGTTAAGGCAAAACGTCCTATTCTTTGTGATGAAAGCATTCATTGCGTCAGTCCTTGAACGGAATCGTACTGTTGCCATTTTAACGGGATTGTCGATAGTTTCTCCCTGTCTGAGAGCACGAGAAACTCATACGGAAAAAATCTTAAATATTGAACATCACTTAGAATAAGCAGATTGTTTGACATTAACCTTAGAAAAATATTGATGGAGGACCGATCATATTCATAACCATGCAGAAAACGTTCTATTTCGTCTATCAGTGCATTTCGAGGAAATCCACGCATTAAAATCTGGCAAAGACAGGCAACTGTAAGATAACTTCCATGTTCTGGAAATTTCAACACAAAAATTATGACAGTTATAGGCAAAATTCCATGTTCAAAAAATCTTGGCATCCCCCTCAAATAGATAGTCCAATACCATCAATACCTAAAATCAAGGTAACTTGCTGATTACATACATGCATACTTACAAATATATTTTTAAATAAAAACAAGCATCAAATCAAAAACCTCAAAAATGCAACTTCTGTGTCATTGTTCTGTGAGCGAAAGCGCACATTGTTCTGCAAGTGAAAATGTACCCTGATGTTCTTCATATTTATAACAGGTAGTTATCTTTTAGACGTACCATTTGTCAATCAAGATGCTGTTTCGTATATAAGCACACAAACATGTAAATTCTTTCATTTAAAACGTAGAAAAAGCTATTTTTATCTTAATTGAGTGTTTGGCATTTGACAATCAAAGAATAACCAGCATTTCAAACTCCTGAAAACAATTAAGATGCACATAATTAAGTTATACTTACAGTTTTTCCGTCATAAGGAGTAACAATATCCCATTGGGCACGATCAACCTGACACCAAAGAAAAAGCAATCATATATATCATCAAGCACTCGTCAAATATACATATAAGATTGATCAATCTTTTGCTATAGACAAATGTAAGCATCATACCCTTTCCAATTTGTACAAGCGACCATTCCTTGCAATATGTCTAAAAGCTTGTTCATAGGCACCGTGAGAATGGAATTGCAACATCCTGATGATAGCCAAAACCTTTTCTTCAATCAGTAGTTTGAGTATAAAATGTATCAAGAGATTTCAGTTAAATATGAGCAACAAAATGCTCACGAGATGAATTATGAAAATAATCAGCTCACCCCTTCATGAAAGAAAGTGAACGTTTGAATAATGTTAAAACAATTGCTAGAACAGAAAAAGGGATATCATTTACTTTCGTGAGAGAAATGCAGTCAATCATAATTTTAGTGCCAAAAATGTTAAAATTTTCGAAGTTTCCTTCAAGAAAAATAAGAGATTGAAGGCATTACATTGCAAGGGGCGTAAAGTAACGGTCGTAGTCCACTTTGACATCCTCCATGGTCAAATTAGAATCTTTAAGAAAGTGGATTATATCTGTTTTCAGGGTATGTTTACGAACTCCCAACAGCCTCCCATATACCAAACCTAAGGAGAGAAACAGAAAGAAGTGAGTAGTTATTTTGGCTAGATGACGGAACAACAGATTAATCAAAGGCCAAAGCGATAGTGAAACATGTATCCCCGTTAATTAAATTATATTCAAAAGAATGCATGCTTAACTAGGCATTCTTGTCAATGGAAAAGATCTTGCCGTAACTGGAAGAAAGAATTAGAAATATAATGAAATAGCGTAACGGCATAATTAGTGAAATGTTAACCCAAATCCTTGCTTCAGTTCCTCTAAAACTGTCAATAGCGAAAAGTAGATATCGAATCATTATTATCTGTTGCCACTCCGAATAGCCAAGAAAGGCTCATCTGCGCACTATTGTGTTCGAAACAAGAAGACATGGGAGTAACTGCATAAACATGGCGTACCTTGACGGGGACTGCGCAGAAAAGAATCGGCAACTGGACCCTGAGGTGGCTGTCCTGCTTCAGTTGAAAACAACACCCTGGACGTGGTTTGAAAAGTGGAAAAGGGAGAGTTCGATCTCAGTGCGGCTCTAAGAATACTCATCTTCGATCGGAGCTTGCAGGGGAAATTGGCCGCTGGTCAGTTTAAAGCACGGGGAGACCCACTCCACCACCGCCCGGCTTGTTGAAGCATCTAAGTCTACCAGGGCTTCGGCCCAATCACCCCAAACAACAATGAGTTGAGTAGAGTATCTACTGTATCCATTTTGGTTTTTTGGTAATTAAAGGATTACAAACTGGGCCGAAGGGCCGTTAGATGTAGCAAAGGCAGGGGTGGTTATCCCGGGACATCCTCACGCAAAAGCACTGTAACAGACTAATGGGGGTTGAATTGAGTAGAATGGACTAATTTTTCACGGCTCAATAAATTAAGGTTTGAATTTTTGTGAAGAGAAATAAAAAAACAATGTGACATAAATAGGAGGCGTCAGGAAAGTGTGGACGCATCTATTGGTTTTATTTTATTATTATATGAGTAGGATTGTTCTGTTACCTAATAAATTACTCCGGGGAATCATATATTAAAATGGTGGAGATTAAATATAAAATAGTTTCCATGGAGGAGGAGGGTGATTGTGAGTAATTTAGTTTCAAGCGCTGTTTTTTTTTTCCCTGACTTTAAACAGTGAAAATGCACAAATGTAATAATAATTATAAGGAATAGAATATTTGGTTGCAGTTGTAATATTTAATTATTCATAACTTTTTTTTTTTTCATAGTATGTGTTACTCCCTAGCCCCTTGCCTTCCTGCACCTAGTAATTTTTTTGGTCCAAAAAGGTCAAAACATGAAAACAAAAAAAGGAAAGGTAATGTCAGTCAGACTGTTTCTCCCATTGTCTGCGTTTATCATAGCATGCTATGAGAAACATGACTCTGTCCTTCGCCCTCAGATATCAATTTTACAATCCGCATTTTAATTTGTTCACTCTTCATTTCCAAGACCAAACTTCAGTGTAAACACATATTCTATTGTCATTCAAGCCCGAGTCTCGTTTTTCAGGGTTTAAACGGCTAGGCTCACTAGCTCAGACGTCTTCTCATACAAAATTTTTTCAGCCTGATTGATAAAATTTCATAATTGAGATAGTTTTCATGACTAAACTTGACTGATAAAATATATGGAAAAGCACAATATTCAGTCCCTATAATTTTATGATATTTTGTTTTTAGTTCTTATATTTTATTTTATTATTATCAATCCTTATAATTTCTGTCGTCCATAATGTTAGTCCGTTCAATCATTAATGGTATTAAATTTATTGAGCTGTTATTAACATTGTTAAATTTTATGATGAGTCACCATATACCAAGCTTTAACTTTGAAGACAATCCCTTGTCCTGGGGATATTCGATCCCAATCCCATGTCAATCCTTAATCATTAAAAATAATTCCATTGGTTTGTGCTGCAACTGCTACATGTATAGAAATATGGGAAAAACTCTCTAGCTACTTGTGTTGAAGTTCAAATATGAGAAAACTCACCGTGGCTAAATAACGCTATCGCCCTTAGATTGGAACTGGATTGGCGGTTCCAACTGGCTTTTATCATAGTGCCAGCAGGAGTGATGAAGCAAGTGTGGGCAGACATTCTCGTTGATGGCCTTGTCTTAAACTGATGCTTGGAATTACAGATTATTAAAGTTTAAATTTTTGCTAAAAAATATCCCTACATTTAATAGCTGGCTGGAACATGATTACTTCTAATAAAAAAAACTTATGACAAAAAAAAAAAATAAAAGCTGCAGATTACAGGCTTGTATGGTTTTTATTCTCATTTTTTACAATTTGGTTTTTAAAATTATTTTTCAAAACAAAAAGAAAATTTGTTTGGTTGTGTTAATTTTTAAAAAAATTTAAATTAAAAAATTGGTTGATAATGATGGTCACCAATAGTTAATAGTGGTGACTTATAATAATTATTATTTAAGATAACTACAATTTTTAATAATAAAATATAATATATCTTGAAAACAAAAAAATGAAAATAACTTTAAGATATTTTTTTTTTGTTTTCGAAAACACAAAATGAGAACAATTTTAAAAACAATTAGATTCAAAAAACACCCCTTCAAATATTTTTTTTATTTTTAAAAACAAAAATCAAACAGACTCAGCGACATTTAAGCTAACCCAATAGGCCAATGTACATACGACGGGTTTGCGCAAGCAAGACAGTTGACCTGTGGAGCGCCAATATTCTAAATTATCTGAAGTACCAATACTTTTTTTAATATGCATTCATAAAATATTAAAATATTATTATTTTTTATTTTTAATATATATATATATATATATGATACTTTTCAATTGTCAGTTGATATCAATATTTTTAAAATTAAATTGAATATTGAATTGTGAAGATCAACTATTTATAGTTCTCATAATTTAATTGGATTGAATCAATAATCAAAATATATGATATTTTATATTTTAAAAATTAAAATGCGACATGCAACATAGCAGTTGACAATATCACAAGATTCTCACTGCCACCTCACTGCCACCTCACTGCTGCAGGGCGATCGACAACTCTACCTCCGTATTTGTGCGGACGTCCCATTAGTTACGGGTAATAACCGTTTAAAGAACTTCCATTTCCCCTCCCTTTTTTAATATTATATAAACATCCATGCCATTATAAAAATGAAAAAAATATTTTTTTACCCAAAAAAAATTAATAAATATTTGGGGCTCGCCTCACTGGGACATGTGATTGAGACTGCACGAGATGATACAGAGCGAGGGGAAGGTGGTTTCTCAGATACGGCTTTATATATTGCCATGATACTTTGATGGAAAAGCTTGGGAGTACAGTGCGATGAGCATGATGGAATTTGGAAACCAACCGATTCATCATCAAGGCGAAGAAGGAAGATTGATGGGCGTAGACTTGACATGGATGGTTGAGTTTCTGAGAAGCATGGGGAAGCCGGTGGCCGCGGCTGCGGTGGTGCTTTTAGCCGTGATTTTGTCGTTTTCGCAGAAACTGGGGTTGGAGGGAGAGATGTTTTATGCCATGTTCAGGGCCTTCCTTCAGCTCTCTGTTATTGGCTTTGTCTTGCAGTTCATCTTCAATCAACACAACGTCGGATGGATCCTTCTCGCTTACCTTTTTATGGTTAGTCTTCCCATCCATTCCTCCCCTGCTCTTGATTCCGTTAAAAAAGTTATTTTCCCGTAGACTCTGCCTCCATGCGAACCAGAAGATGCTTTTACTGTTTCCCAAGCATTCGAGGCAAACTTCCAAGACATCTTGAGGAACTCAATCTCTCTTTATGTGGACGGTTCTCTCTATTCTGTTTTCCCCTTATCTTCTTTCTTATCGAGAGGATGATAGCAGATTCCAGATTCGTCTTTTGCTTTTTTTCAAGTGCGTGTTCAATTATTCCGTTGTTGTCATCGCTGATTTGACCTCAAAATATCCCTTTCCTTATAATTTTAAAATACTACAACTCAGCGTTAAAAAACATATCTCTTATTTTGTTTTCAATTCAGTAATTTAAAAATTAAGGTTAAAAAAATCAATAATTATAAAAATATAAAAAGTTTTTCCCACGGTTAAAAAAAAAAAAAAGAGGAGGAACTTTACAGACTCGCTCTTATTCATTTCAACCTCAACTAGGCAGGACTTGTTCTTCATCTGTTTCATATCTTGCCAGAGTCATGACCAAAGATACTCACTTTAAGGAAGAAAAAAGGAAAAAATAATCAGAGCATCTGAATCTCAGTAATGAATACCGACCGTTGCTGACTGTTAAATTGTGGCTTAATTTGCTATGAAGGTGTCAGTCGCTGGTTACACGGCGGGTCAACGAGCGAGACAAATCCCTCGCGGTCAATATGTTGCTGGTGCTTCCATTCTCACGGGAACGTCAATCACTATGCTGCTGCTAGTGTTGATGAGCGTGTTCCCTTTCACTCCCAGATATATCATCCCCGTTGCCGGCATGATGGTCGGAAATTCAATGACTGTCACCGGAGTTACCATGAAAAGACTTCGAGACGACATCCAAGTGCAGATGAACTTGGTCAGTAACAAGCCCCTTACTCTTCAGACTGCTTCATATATTCCAGAAGATTCGATTTCAAAGTCTCATGGAAACTAGTTTTTGTCCTCTTCCTTTCTTCTTCAGGTTGAGACGGCCTTGGCTCTTGGTGCGACCCCACGACAAGCCACGCATCAGCAGGTGAAAAGGGCTCTGGTGATCGCGCTTTCGCCGGTGGTGGACAACGCCAAAACTGTGGGTCTAATATCGCTGCCTGGGGCAATGACTGGTATGATTATGGGAGGGGCTTCGCCGTTAGAGGCCATTCAACTTCAGATTGTGGTCATGAATATGCTTATAGGTGCATCTACTATTAGCAGTATAATGTCTACCTACCTCTGTTGGCCTGCATTCTTCACCAAGGCGTACCAGTTAGACACCAAGGTCTTCTCACAGTGACTCCACGTCTCCACCTAGCTTCACTTGCAAATTAAACCAACAATGTTGCATGCCTCGTCCCCGTAAAAGCACAGGTCAATAATTAGCGATGAAAAGGATACAGCTGAACTCTGTTAGTAGATGAATAAGAATTTTGATTTTGATTGTTTTGTTCTGTCTAGATTCAGCTATTCCCCTTCTCTGTCTACCGATCAAAATTTAACATGTGAATGCTGGCGCAATTTTTTTTCTCATTTTTGAAATGGTATTGTTACGTTTGACAAAGGAAATAACGAGGTAAAAGAAAAGGGAGGGTGAGGTAGTCTGCTAAACGCAATGCTTTATGCACAGTGCTATGCTCTGTTCAGTTGAGCTGTAACCATCGAGCATGATATCATTACAAACCATTTTATTATATAGCTCAATTTTCTTTTTGAACCATGGCATCTAATAAACGAAGATGAATCGAAAGATTAATATAAAAAAAGGTAGTTTGGTGGAGGAAGATAGTATACTCGAGTACTCCTCCCTCCCCCAAGCGGACATTTAACATTTGCCTGTTCATTCTAATTCAATTTCATTCGCCTTTGCACGCCATCAATACGGCAGTGCACCATGAAAGCTCAAAACCAAGAAAAAAAAAATCTGGTTCTGTTTCTATTTTTGTAAATTATTCCAGCATCCCTCGGATAAACAAATACAAGGCATGCGGGGTGATGCAGTAGCATTTTAGCACAGACCCAGCCATATATATATATATATATATATTGATAACATCAGCAGTCACACACACACATATATGGCCGTTATGGAAAGAGTTAAAATGAATTAGGTTTGGTGTTTGGCATTGTTATCGTCCAAAGGGTTCTCGTTGTCGTAGCTGCCGGGAGGGTCGTACTCGCAGACCACCAACATACCCTTAGTGGGATCTCGGCAATGCTGGAGGGCACAACCTAAACGCAAAGAGTCCTTCCACACGAGCTGCGTGAAATGTCCACAATCCTTGCCCGGCGGCGCCGTGCACTGGAGGTTCGTGAAGTTGTACCATTTACTCTCTTCAAGCCAATAGTACACCGCATCGGAAGGCGTCCAATGCAAACGGAGGCCCCAGAAAATGTTCTCCCCGTAAGGCAAGTCCGAGTGAACCATCTTGCAGTCGTCGTAGTGCTGCATGGCGTATTGTTTGGCCACATTCTCTAGCTTCTCATCCCACGTGAAGAGTGGAAGTTTGAATAAAACCCTGACCCAATTGTGGGCGACCAGGAATTCTTCCTTCCGGAGATATTTGAGCAAGTCGCAATTAGCCCCACATCCTTTAATCACCTTCAATGGGTCCCATCCGAACTTTTTTGCATGATCCGAGATGTCACCTGTTCCGACTGCCAGTGGCGGCGGCGGCGGCGGCGGCGTTGGTTGAGCAGGAACCGTGACGGGGGTTTGTGGTGTTGATGGAGGAGGAACTGCGACGGGGATTCTTGGTATTGTCGGAGTAGGAACTGTGACGGGGATTTGCGGCGCTGCTGGTGTTCCTTGCCTCACAGGACTTTTTCCCTGACCTATCGAAATTAGCGTGGTTGACCGCACGGTGGGACGACGATGACGGAATCGGTAGTGGCCCCCGTGGTGGCGACGCATGGCCATAGAGATGGGTAGACCGGAAACGCCTTGGGCGAGGAAGAGGAGAAAGATGGCGGCGATGAGCGGATTTTGATGCATAGTAGCGTACGGCACGAGGGTCCGGCTACGTAGAAAGACAGAGGGTCTTTGTGAAAAAATAATGCAAAGTTTAGCTGGCCATTGTCTTCCTTGGGTGAGCTCTTCGTGTTGTTCTGCATCGCCAATTTTCAGTGACTCCCTGATTTTGGCTTATATATTCCGAGACGTCATGTCGTTAAGCATAACGGAGCACCCTGCTGCATGAATGCACTGTAGAAAATATAGCGGCGTGGTTTATGGGGGTTCACAGGTCCATCTCTAGTCAAAATCCGTACTCGCGAATGTTGCGAACAAAGCATTAGACGATTACCATCTTTAGTCAACATGTTGCAATTAGTTTCCGAAGTTTTTGCCGTTCCCGTTGCATTTTTTATATTTTCTTTCCAGTTTAGTGTCTGAAACAGCAGAACCGCGGCTGATATTTTGAGACTCCATTTCGATGATTACCCATCGATCGTTTCCAATTATATGACGTTATGTGATATGGCCGTCAATAGGTTGTTGCAAGTTTAGTTTTCTGTCAAAATCTTTGAATTGCTTGTGAGCTTTAAACACGTGGCAAAACTCGTATTGCTGACAGTTTTCCCCCTCTCAATTTCACGGCGATATATTCGTATTGATTTCTCTATGAAGCAAAACTCAGAAAAACTTTTAGTGAAGTAGAACTCTCCATAACGTGGCTATCCTCTGTCTCTTTCAGTGATCTCCTCACGGTTATTAGTTTTTTGATTGCTCTATCTCTTGTCTCCCTAAATTTTTAATTCAGAATAAGTAATTTTTACATTATTTATTACTGTTGATTTGTCTATTATTATTTAATATTTTTTATTATTTTTGTTTATTATTAATTTTTATTATTGTTAAATTTTCAAGTGATTGTATTTTTATAATTATTATTATATTGATATCTTGTATTAAAAATTAATCTTAAATTTAACTGAAAGTTTTATAATTAATATTTTTTATTTATATATTATTTTAATTTTAATTGATTTGTCACTGATCTAACCCACGATTCAATTCTGATTAAATCAATAACACCTGGCCTAATGGCTTGACGGTTCAATTATCGATTCGGTTTTAAAAACCTCGTTAATCAGGACGCGGTCAAGGGAAGCTCGGAAAGGCGCCATGGCTGGTTCGTTGTTTATAGCATTGATTATGAAACGTTGCCTGTCGTTTACTGATGCCGGAGAGGAGAGAAGTGAGCACCCCTGCCAATTATCGTCTTAACATCTTTTCCATCAACCGCAAGGCGTTAACTAATAACTGGGGAAGCTGTTATCCGCCATGTCCATTACGGCTCGGCATCTGTGGAATCCTAGGGTTTTTGATGTCCTTCTCATCTCTTGGATTTTCTTAAGCTATTGTCCCGGTAATTTTTCCTCGAAAACAAGCAGCGTCTATTTATGCATATAGATTCTTATTTGTTCAATAAGCTTACTAAGAAAATGGCAAAACCTACGACTCTTGATCAAGAGGATATTTCAGTTTGGATGAGAGCTGTAAATATTCATGTTCATTATGATTTTTTGTCAATTTTTATATTTAGCAGTGTCTCTGTTTTGTTGTTTTTCCCCTGCCAAGTCTTGGTGAGTAAATTGAGTGAATTAATGACTATTTAAGTGCTATGACTTCTGGTCTTCACCGCGCAGGATTCATACTGTCTGCAGCTGTCACACTAAATTCGATTGAAATCGTCAAGACCCATAATTGGCTGAAGGTCACTCCAACGGTTTATTTCCTATGCAAAGAGGAGAACAAGACGGTGCTGCCTGATGTCAAGAAAGCGCATCTCTTGTATACTTTTAAGGGTGAAGAATCATGGCAGGTTCTCGCATGCTACTTGCTTCTTCTTCTTTTCTTTTTTCTTTTTTTTCCCCTGGCGTTTGAGATTATTTTTGTTTATTATTCTACGTGCATTCCAGCAACCAGTTTATTTACTTATGCTGTAGTCCAATATGATTTATAATTAGTGCCTCTTCTGCTGAAGAACTTTTTCCAATTATGTAGTCTTGAGTGCATTGCTTATTTCTTAGTGTATAAAAGTTGAGAATCTAGGCAAGAAATGACAAGTAAAACTGTTGGACATGACAAAATTGGCCGACCTAGAATCACAATGTTTCATGTTTTACTTCTTCCCTCCCTGATTCTGCTAGATAGAATATGGGCATAGAAAAGCATTGGGCAATTCTTCTATTAACTTATATTACACTCATTGGATCAGAAGGGAAGAAATTTATAAATTTTTAGTTTTTCATTTGAAAAATAAATATTGGTTGATCATTGTATTACTCTAATTGGATCAGAATTTTTGTAAGGTTCTAATCCGGAGCTTAACTAAAGAAAACCACATAGCCAATTTGCTGATTTTACAAGCTGATGTTATGCTTGTATGGTTTCCCATATCAGAGGCGCTACTTTGTTCATTTGCAACTGTCACATCTGTAATCAGAAATTTAGATCGAGCAATGCAAACGCAAAGACATTGTGTTTTGGCAAACATTCATATCATAATAAATGAACCCAACTAACTAGCGCATATGTCAACTATTTTACGAGTAATCATGTCAAATCAATTTGCTTGGAAGTGAGGTCTGAATAATTTGCCCGTGCCCCCTGAAGCTTAATCATTATTTACGTGATTAGCATGATCATTTGTATGGTTTTACTCCTTCAAACAACTTCTAAAATTGTGCTTCACGATTCCAGCCTCTGACTAACTTCTCAAGTACAAAGTGCAAGCGATGTGGGATTTATGAAGAAAACAGTATTATTTCAGATGATGTGTATGATGAGTGGGAGTTTTGTCCTTCTGATTTTCCTACCGTTCATGGCATGTATGTCCATTTCAAGGGGAAAGAATTTAATGCCACTTTTTTGTGCCCAGAATGCCTGTCTTTTTTTAATGGTGAGTGCTATGGTAACTTTTTTTTTTTTTTAATTCCTTCTACATCATTCATGGTGGATTGCCCACTCTGGATGCATTAGTACATCATTTGCAAAGGACTTTATATTTTAAGAGATGTTTCAATGTGCAGATATTAGACAGATTATCAAAACATTTTGAAGTTTCGATTTTTAAGCATGTTTATTTCAATACCTAGTTTAAGCGCTTAAATTTCAGGATTTATTTCAGAGAGAGAAGGTAACCTTTGTATAAAGCTATAAATTATTTAAGAAACGATGTGTCTGATTTTTTCTGGCTTTCATGCTTGCATGCTAATATCTTCAATGACATTGTCATCTTAGGTCCCAAATTATTTTTCTCATGTTATTTCTTGTCTCCTCAGCTTGAGGGATAATTAGGCATCTAAGTAGTTGCATGTCTGAACCAATTTTTCTGGACTCATCTCTTCGGAGTATGTGTGCTTTCGCAGTTTAATACTAATTGATATTATAAACATTGCACTACCTTATTTCAGCGCTAGTGACTACGATAATTTTCTTAACGTGTGTAGTGTCTAGCCCAGCACCTGAAGTGCATGATAGTGGAAAAGGAATGGAAGTAGCGATTCTGGTTTTGCTAAGTTCTTTGGTCTCAACTTTGCTTATAATTGGATTGGTGGGTGCATACAAGTACTGGCAAAAGAAGAAGAGGGAGCGGGAGCAGGCTCGGTTTGTAAAGCTATTTGAGGATGGAGATGACATAGAGGCTGAGCTGGGCCATGGCTCTATCGTCTGATGGTCATGCTCTTGTACAGTAGATTCACCTGGTAAACTAGTTACATGTACTAGGATAAGAGAAGAAATGTTTTTGTTTTGACCAGAAACTTTTATATTCCACGAGCATAGATTATCAAAATGGAAAGCAATGTACAAATGTTGATAGGTGGTGCCTACTGCCCAACAACGTAGCATAATCTAGTAGATTCTTCACAAACGCAGATTGGTCAACTTCAAGCACCCATGCAAGTGCTTTATGGACTTTGCTTAACGGTACCTCAACATGTAAAGTGCTCCATTCATATGGAGTTTAGAACCAAAAGCAATACCAAAATATAGCTTTCTCAGCAACAATGCACTCGATCACTGATATGAAAAACTTCCAGCTAAGTTAGAACTTTTTCCCCTTATATCAATTTACATAATGGAGAATTCTATATTGTGGTATTAGCCTTCACAGATTGATGTGAATGTTACAAAAACTCTCCGTGAACACGCGTGGGCGAACAGAGACCAATATAAAATTTCATGTATGCGTGACAATATAATATTTCTGACTTGTTCATCTCCAGGAGCTCAAAGAGAAATGCCACCATAACTTTGATTTTCCCATCTCTGGTCCTCCAAGTTGTTTTCAACTCCTAAGTTGCTTAAATAAGGATAGTCTTAGTTTTGAGATTCATCTGTGAGCATTCAAATCAGAAAAATTCGGCAGCTTTAAGAATGTAAAGCAACAAAATGACATTGAGCACTAACAATGCAAAAGCCCAGAATCTAACTAGAAGATCCCCCTTGTTGAGTTATTGAAATTGCACAGTTCCTCGGAATTGGAGCCATAAATTGCCTTGATGGTGTCCCTGCAGCTACTGCAGAGAGAAAATTGAAGATGAGAAATGCTCATTTATGGGGTAAATAAATTATAAACGAGAACACGTCCATGTAACCTGCAGGCCTCCTTGTTGAATTTTTTTGGGTGTATTCCATATAGAGATTCGAATATATCAGGCTCTACACGACAGAAGTACGGACGATCTGAACAACAAAGAGGTACACAGCCACGCTCTTGAAACCGATATCAGCAAATAGTACGAGTGAGATAAGTGGTTTTTACCAGCGTAAATGGAGCAAGTTCGAGTGCTCTTTTGAAAATGGACACACCATCCATCTGGACCAATCAAGCTTCTATACAGCTGAAGTTGATCAGACATAAAGGAATTCACAAACAAGTATCAACTAGAGAATAGAAGGGAAGCATCTGGTCAAGAGACGAAGCTTTGAATTTTCTGAAGCCCGCAAGTAGCAAAAGCTGGACGAGTAAAACAAGAAGCAAACCTCAAGATCAGAAGGATGTGTAAAAATTTCTTCAGGAGAGGCAAAAGAGGGGCCTTTCTGAAGCTTGCAGCAGGCCCCACAACCCTCGACGCAACGCCATAATTCATGCTTTTTGTCGCCACCGAAGCCAATGGAGGTGTGGCTCTGCTTCTTATCATGTGTTGTCTTCTTAGAGGGCAGCCGGGGACGACGCGCAGCCAAGCTAACGGGGAAGGGAGAGGCGAGAGTGAGGATGAGCGCCATCACTTTGACTTCGATTCGTCCCAGTCGAACCACGCAGAGGAATCAGATAAACTGAGAATTAAAAAAAAAAAAAAAGGGATGCACATAGAAATAAGGGAGAATGGCAATTAAGGCCTTTTTAAGAATATTAATTTTAATTATAGATCATAAAATTTTAAAATTTTAGTTAAGAATTATGATCTTTAATTGTGATAAAAAAATATAGTTTATGAGATGAAATTTAAACCTCATTTAAAAATTAATTGTTTAACAAAAAACACTACTTGAAAATTCACTAACTCAACTTGAAAAAATGTTTAATGTATATTGTAAAAATATGAAACTCCATTTGAGAATTAATTGTTTAATAAAAAAACACCAATTTAGACAAGTCACTTTTTATTACACAATTAATTCTCAAGTAGGGTTTCATTTTTTCATAATATATGTTAAAAATTTTTTCAAGTCTAATTAGTGAATTTCTAAATGACGCTTTTTGTTAAACATTTCATTCTCAAGTGAGGTTTCATATTTTCACAATATATGCTAGTAATTTTTTCAAGTTAAGGTTAGTAAATTTTTAAGTCGCGTTAGTAAATCCCACCTCACCAACTATATTTTTTATCACAATTAAAAATCATGGTCTTTAATTAAAATCTTATAATTTTATAATTCATAATTAAAATTAATATTTTTAAAAAAGTTTTTAATTGTCATTCTTCCTAAAAGTTAATGCATAAAAGGTTGGGGGGGTGAAAAAGGCATTCAACTTTACAGACTAATGCAGTCTCGAGTTTAAGAAAGGAAAGAGACCATATTTATTAAAGGGAATGGAGGGGCTTTTGTAATCCCTGCAGACCCCCACCGAACTTGGTTATAATAATAATAATTAATCTAATGCAATTTCTAGCTTCAAGAATAATTTGTTATCCAATATTGAATGATAACAGAGCCGTGTCAACCAAACTTCAATGAAGACGTTTCAAATTCAACACTGCCAAATTACGATAATTTTCGTCAAAAAATTTGGAAGGGAGGGGAGCCAGAATTTACCCCTCCTCTTCCCTCATTTTGATTCCCTTTAAATTGGGATTTTTTTGAAGGGAGTCAAATATCTTGACTAATTTGCCTCTACTTGTTTTCTTATATTCCATAAATATCCATTAATAAAACATAAAATAAACTTCCTCAGCTGCTCAACTTCTTTTCATCTGTCGCTGAAACCCATCCCTCCCCTGTTCTCCGGTGTGTAGATGACGAACTCGCGACCTTTACCTTACTTTTTGAATCGTTAGTTTGTGCCATGAAAATAAAGCTAGTCAATAGTCACAGAATCAGCGGGTTTTCAGGTGAAGGTGTAGAAGTTTTACTCACCGATCCAATTATCCAGATTGTTGCTGGCTACTACTTTTGTCCAGCTAGTTTTAGAATATGACTTTTTAATCACCGATCTAGGCATCCAAATTAAACAAACAACCATTTTTCAAATGATTGTCAATTATAGAATTTTTTTTGTCAGTTGCAAATTAATTTATTTAAGATCAAAGTAAAAAAAATAAAAATTAATATATAAAAATATAATAATAAATTAATCATTACCTCTCTTCCCCTTCAACAAAACCGTTGTTAATACAAAACCATTGCCGTCCCTTCCCCTTTGAACCAAACACAGCATTAGGAGAGTTTAAGTTTAACAATATAATTAAATTAAATACCACTAAATTTATTGACATTTTACAGCTATCATTTTACTATATTAAAATTATCAATGATTTGTTTTGTTTAAGACGTCATTCTCCCAACAAACTTCTCGATAGGAACAAGAGATTTCCCGTACGTACTTGGTCTAACTGTCTCGGTAAAATTCCGTTATTGTATTTCTACCTTACCAAAGGCTCACGCAAATTGTCTTCCAAGGTATGACGAACATAGAGCGCAGCCAATAAAAACAGCGGAGCGACAAGGGAAAAAAATGTGCCTTGATAAGGACCATAAACATGAGTTATCCCGTCAGACTTCCAAAAGGCAAACAGAGATTCATGAAACCAACTACATAATAATAAAATAAGCCTGTCTTCTAACACCACTTTTAACTCACGCCTGAAAACATCTTAAGGTGACTCACTGCCTCTGGGCGAATGGCGGGTATCATCATCATCTTCAATGGGGCTTCGGTCATCCTTGGGGCTGGCACTCTGGCTCCGACCATTTGCTTTAGGGCTGACATAGCTGTCCCTTGCGGGGCTACTAGCCGGGCTTCTGCTCTTTTCTCTAGGACTGTAGTCAGACCCATCTTGCTTGCCATTACCAGGAGAAGCCTCACCTCTCTTCTCTGGACTGCCATCATCTGGTGTCAGACTCCGATCCCTTGTCCTCGAGGGTGGAGGACTATCTTTGGGTTCCGGGCTTCTGTATCGAGGACTCAATGACCTATCTTCATGTACTGGGCTCCGTTCTCTTCTGACAGGTGATCTTGATCGGCTGGGCAAAATAGAAAAGCAATCAAACAAACCATAAGAACAATATTTACACAATGTAAACTGTGGTGAAAGAAATGCTGGCAATCACATTCTTGATAAATTCCAGATGATAAAGGAAAGAGAGAGAATTTCACTAGAGAAAATCGGTGCAGAATCTTAACACCCAAATTCTCCAACAAAATGATCGAGGTATATGCACAAAAGACATAAAAAGCGATCTTCACAAGAGATATGAGTAGGTTTATTGACTCAATCACAACTAAAACGCCTGAAGAGTCCAAAAAAATACAATCAAGTTCATAATCCTATGCCTTCCCCTGAGCTTCCTAAATATATTTATAAAAAAAAAAATAGATAATGAAAATGCCAATAACCAACTACTAGCCTAGAAAGTAGCATTCGTGTGCTGAAAACATGCAGCTAAAATGCTAAATAACTGCTGCCCTGGCCCTGATGCTTATCTACTGCAGTTAACTGCTCCCTGTTGACCTGGTGTCAATTTTCCTCCACTCTTGCCCATTCCTTCTAATATAAATTAATACAGGACGTGGTACTCTATCATTCAATAAATTCATCAACAGATACATAATTATCATAGAGAAACATACCCAAGATGTTACCATGCCTACAAATTAATGAATACGGAAACAGTTTTAAAACACTTAAACTATAGCGGCTTATAAATCCCTTGAATCCAATCATTCCCCCTTATCTAATAGATGTTAGGACTAAAATCATCCAACCTGTAGCTTCGATCTCGGCTATAACTTCGATCACGGCTTCTGCCACGACGGGGAGAAGGTGACCTAACCGGTGACCGTGAATAACTACGCCCACGTCTGCTGGATAAACACAAAAAGCTGACAACATAAATTAAACCACATTAAGATCAATCAATAATGCAGGCAGCATTACACAGCCCTACCTCAACTTCTTCGGACTATTCTTGCAGTTTCGTTCAATATGGCCTCTCTCTCCACAGCGGTAACACTTGTTCTTCCAGTCTCCAGCTTTGCAATCTCGAGCCCAGTGTCCATCAAGGCCACAATTAAAGCAGCGTCCAGAACCAGGAGGAGGACCTCTACCTAAATATTCTCGAGAACCACGTGGCACCTATTTGTTCAAGGCAAGGTGACCAAATGCTCATCAACAGACACCAATAATGACATTCAGTACACATTAAAAAAAAAACTGATATAATTGATACTCGTGTCAAAAACATTCAGTCAAACACAGTTAAACAGGAACTACAGGCATGGTTCAAACAAAAGGCCACAACTCAACACAGTTTCTTTCCATTTGTGATGTTTTTTCCTTTTCTTTTGGGGTTAGGTGGGGGGGGGAGGCAAATGAGAACTCAGGCACCAATAAGACCAAAAGTTTACCATTCATAATAGCGACGCTAAAAAATAGCAAACTAATTAACATGCAATCATAAGAAAAAGTGTCCACAGAAAGATATAGAACGAAAGCATAGTCAGATAATGTCGTCAGAGTACCAGACTCTCCACATCAAGAACATTGACCCAAACTTCCATGTCAACGGGGATCTCTCCCTTAAAATTGGCAACATTTAAATTAGAACATATTATATTACATGAAAAAAGTTTATGCAATTAGTGCTTACCCCTTTTGCAAACTCCACAATTATTCGACTTCCATCAACATCACGGCCATCCAGGTTATATCTTGCATCATCAGCATCGCGGTAGTCACTAAACTCCTGTTTTAAGGATGTGAGAGACAAACAATGGAAGTAGCACAGAAACATTCACCACCCTCTACAATTCATTTCCCCACAGAGGAAGAAATAAAATGAAAAGAAATACATAAAAGCAGAGCAAGGAGTGACAACTTACAACAAAGGCGAAATCATGCTTCATATCCACATCTCGAATTCTGCGTAAATGGTTTCCAGAAACAGTAAGGCCATCATTACTTAACTACTGCTAGAGTATGATACTTCGCCCCTCAAAGACGAACAAAACACCAGTTTGTGATTGTTGCCATTTCCATAAAAACACGCAATAACATTACAGAAAGAATCGCCAAAGTCAAAACTCAGCAGGAATTTCCACCAATTCCACCAAGGCCACCCTCTCACCACAGACCTCCAGGTTTAGGCAAAACCCCAGAAACCTTCAACAAGATCATTCAAGTTAAAACACGACGCCTAGGGAACAGGGTTCCGCTAATATAAACCCAAGAACACAAAAAAGCTTGGCAAAACCTGTATATAAGGCCCTAATTTTCAGGGCAAAAGATGGCACCTAATCCCACACCAATTAACCACTCAATTAGCTCGCTTGTCAATTCACAGAAAGGATAAACTATGAACCAGGCAGAAATTAAAAATTAGATTTTTCAAACCACTCAATTAGCTCGCCTCTCTGTGGCAATGCAAATAACTTTCGTAAAAATTTAACCAAGGGGCTCACAGCAAAAACAGAGAATAGTCATATGAGCCATTGGTTCTTTAAGGAAGAAACAGAAAAAAAAGTGTGATCCTTCGCATCATACTATGTCGATGGACATGTTCACTGCTCGCGACAATGGCTATGCTTTCTAGTTCATGAACGAGATTATAATAATGTTTACCTTCCATATCGGCTAAAGAGTCGCTCCAGATCACGCGAACGTGTCCTTGAAGACAAACGGCCCACATAGAGGCGAGTGTTGCCATATTTATCATCATATCGAGGCATTGCTTCTGTGAAATAAGTGGAGAATAAATGAATTTGCTTAAAAAACTATACAAACAAACAGATCACACACGAGAAATACTTTATAAGATACTAAATGACGCGGTGAACCTATGCCATGTTCAATTTCAAGAGAAGCAAAACACAAGCGACAAACTTTCTGCCCAGATTCCCAAACATCCCAAAACAATTTTACACCGGAAGTCGTAAGCGAACTGACTAGTGAAATATTGAGCTGCAAGTTGATATATGAATATCCCCAGGAGAAAGCTAATTAGTGGCAAGAAACACTCATTCATGCGATAGCAAAATTCACTCTCGGAGACATGCAAACAGGAGATCCAGAGATTCAAGAACAGCAAGAATAAAAAATATAATCCAATTAAAAGCCACGTCAAGATAAGACAAGAAGATGAACAAACGCTAAGAAATTTCGCCCCCAGGTAGATTTGCTCCGGCAACAGCGGTTGCGATCCCAAACCCTTAACCTCGAGAACCAGTATGAGTTTTGCAATTTATAGGATGTACTGACTTCTTTGGACGGCCAGGATACCATTATTATGATCCAACCGCCGACTTGAATTCCGCGACGCATTTGTTTTTTTGTTTTTTGTTTTTTGTTTTGTTTTGTTTTTTTTTGGCTATAAGACGCGTCGCGTAAATATCTTTCTCCCGCGCCACTGAGTCAATAGATGGGCTTGCAATAGATCACGCATAAGTGGCAGCCCGGGCCCAATTTTACAAAAAAACCGTTGATGATGATAGCTCCCCCCTCCGCCACCCCAAAAACCAAGGAATATCCTCTTTGTTGCTTCTTTTGCAAAGTGGGCTGGCTTGTAATTAAAATTATCAATTAAGATCATCCTTTAAAAAATTAGAGTCTAAACAAGTCTAAACAAGCTAACTCTTATTATTTTATATAATTTAAAAATATAAAAAAAGTATATTTAAAATTTCAAAAAATTTATCACCCATAATATTAAATCTTAAAAAATAAATTCAAATCAATCCACACAACAACAAATTTAAATCTAATAATAGCAACATGCCAACATCCCAAAATGTAATATTTTTTTTCATATTGAATTTTATATATATATATATATATATATAAGAGCTTAAAAGAGCCAATGTTTTTATTTTTGAATTTTTTTAAGCTCAATTTATCATTTTACACTTTAAAGTAATAGCCCAATCTTAATTTTCTTTGGGCTTAAAATGATCACCCAATGTACTCAGCTCTAATTGACGGTTTTACTTGCAATAGATTTTAGAATGCAAAAGTGGAGGCTGATGGTCTACTTCATAGAAACAAGGTTGATGGTAGTTAAAAAAAAAAAAGGCATTCATTGCAACTGTTTACAAGTAATATTATCTCAATAACTTTAGATCAAAGTAGTTTCAGCTACAAGTACTTAAGGTTTTTTTAAAAGAAATGAGTTCTCACTTGTTAGTGAAAGTTGACAAGGGTGTGCGTTATAAATCCATATAAGCTAACCAAAAAAAAATCTTTGAAATTCATAGAAAATAAAACAATTATACATGCATACACACTCACACTGCCCTTTAAAATTACTTGAGAGATAATTTCAGTTAAGGACTTGGGAAGGTACATAATTTCTAGTGGATCTCTAAAGAATTTGAAACTTTAGTTCATCTTTCAAGACTAAATTGAAAATAAATTGAATGCAAAAAAAGTAAAAATACCTTTAGTTGAAATATTAAAAAAATCACCAACTACAGTCACCGGTGATGACAGCCATTGGACCTCTGTCATCGAAGCTCCAGCAGCAAACTAGACCATCGCCAGTTGTGGCAAGAGAAATATGGACAATTAAATTCTTTAAAGATAGCCAAGGGTGGGTGTAGAATCTATAATCCCTTGGCTCACCAAAAAGGTATAGATTGTCAAACTATTGAACTCATTCAGTTATATAATGTATGAAATTATATGTATGATAAACCTTATTTTTAAATTGCTTGATTATTACATTATTTGCTAATCTCATAACTTTACTTGTTAATATCTAATAGGACTTATTAGCTAAACTTTGTTAATTCCATGACTCCCGCAACAAAACTACATTACTTGTTAATCACATAATTATATTAATTAATACCTTAACAGGACTTGTCAATTACTTAACTTTCTTTATTAAGTCCTTAACTCTCACAACAGAACTACGTTATTTGTTAATCACGTAACTGTACTTATCAATACCTTAACAGGATTTGTTAATTACTTGAATTTACTTGTCAAATCCATGACTCCTTTAACTAGATCGCATTACTTGTTAATATGCAACTTTACTTATTAATTACACAATAATACTTGGTAATTGCATAGCTTAACTTGTTAATATCATAACAAAACTTACTTAACCGTTATTCCAAAAAAGCAACTAAATTACTTGTTAATTATGTAACTTGACTTGTTAATTGTGTAACTTTACTTGTTAATTTCTCAACAATTAATTGTTTATTGTCACTTATTAAATGAACGTATAATTTACATAAAATTTTGAGTTTGTCAAACAACGAAGGTGACGATAGTCAGGTCTCTCTTGTCATATAATTTATTATATGATATAATGTAAATGAACATATATTTTATAAATTATACTTCCTCCGTCCTAAATTATAAAATACTTTTAGACAAAATTTCACATACTAATAAATATCATTAAATACACTTAACAACTTTATCTTTTCAAAACAAAAATATAAACTTCCTAAATACCCATAATTTAGTATATTGAGAAAAAAAGTGATGGAAATTAATCATAGAGAGAGAAAGGATAATATTAGAATTGGTGAATTTAATGAAACCTTAATTCACTCAAAGTGTCCTATAATTTGAGATAAAAAAACTTCTTTAAAAGTGTCTTATAATTTAAAATGAAGGGAGTAATTTAGTATAATTTAAATGAACATATACTAAATTATAATTTATAAATTAGATGTTCATTTAAATTAACAAGTACACATAATTTAGTATATGTTCATTTAAATTATAATAAATTATAATTTATAAAATATATGTTCATTTACATTATCATATGATAAATTATATGACAAAGGAGATCTGACTATCATTACTTTTGTTATTTGACAAACTCAATTGTTTTATGTAAATTATATTTTCATTTAACAATTGACAATAGACATTTAACAAGTATTGTTGAAAAATTAATAAGTAAAGTGTAACATTTCAGTTTTAATCCCCTAATTAATTAAATCTAATTAGGGTAATTAAGTAAGTTAAGGTGGTGTGTGGCCAGGAGGTCTGATAAGCATATTTGATTGCATTTTAGCCTAGATTATGGGTCCGGTATCAAGTCGGGCCACCCGAGCATCAAAAGGAGAAGAAAAATGAAGAGTGATATTGCTATGTCACACGCCACAGCGTGAAGATCATCCATTGTGGCACACAAATACTTCAGATGTGAAGGAAGACCTCTCTGTGCTATGTGCCGTGGCGCATTGTGCGTACACCATAGCGTATGGTTATTTTCTATAGATATCAATCGTGAAAATGAGATAGAAATAGAGAGAAAGAATAGAGAAATTGGAACAAGCATGCTAAGCTCTGCTAGAATTTGTTAATAGATGATATTGGAAATATTTTAGAGGCTACAAACACCCAAGGTAAGCACTACACTCGTCAATCTTCCCATTTTTCCGCATTTATGAATTTATAGTTAGGGTTTGATTATGGAAGATGATTTTCAGCCTATATTATGGATCTAAATTTATTGACTTAAATGGAGTTAATAGAAATATATTAGAGTATCTAAACTTAGGTATAATAAATTTTGGTGTCTTGATTGTTGGGCACCATTGGTATCTAAAATTTATATTTAATATGGTGGTTGAAAGAATGTGATGCCATTAATGAGAGTTTAATGGCTCATTAATGCTATTTGGGACTAAAGATAGATAATAAATCTAATGGATAGACTTAAACTCTTGTAGAGTGGACTTTGGACAATTTAAAAGTGAAGATTGAGAGTTTGATGCTTGAATTGATAATGTTGATAAAATTCAACTTGGTTGATTGTAGTTTCAGCTTTTGATCACCTATTGGATTGGAAATTCAAACTTGGAAGCTAGTAGATTAAAGGGTAAACTTTTGACCTCTCAAAGGTTTGAGATAATCGGAGGAACCCTGCTTTGGATAATTATATGTTAATTAATTGTCAATTGATTACTAAATGTGATTGTGAATGTTACAGGCATGTGATTAATTTTTAATGTGAAACTATATATTAGTTTTAGTGAGTATATGAAAATTTGTATGTGCATAATTCTATTTTTGGCTTGAAATGCAAAATGTGAAGTTAAGAGGTTTCAAACTATAAACATGCTTATGTTTGGAAAATTAAATGTGATGTTGTATTGAGGTAATTGTGTATTAATGATAAGTAGATTTTGAGATAAGTGAGAACAATATTGAGAAAATGATGAGTATACATACTTGGGTAGCTAAATAGTCGGGAGCCCAATGTGATTGTTGTGGTAATAAGTAAATGAAAATGAAAATGTGAAAACAAGTGGGTATTATTTATGGCATAATCAGTAGGTAGGAGTTTGCATAGGGATTTAAGACTGGAGAAAATTCATATGTATTTAGGCTGCCCTTCAGTGAACGGAGGTATAGCCTTGTCCCACAGTTTGTCAAGGGATTAGAACCTAGTTATCTCTACTAGTTCAATGAGGAGAATAACTTGGGGTATGAGACACTTCAAAGATTCGAGTATGAGGAGGCTGTAGTCTATGAGTGAGTTTTGTGATATTTGGTCGGGTCACACCTCACGATTGGTGAGCTTGGGTAATCCAGTCATACGGACGGTGCCCTATTTAGTATTATAACCTATGGTTTCGACCTGAGAAAATAAAGAGGGTATAAAGTTGGTTAATCATTGCCTATATAAATACATGACGTGTCACACGTGTTGAGTTATGGCAAGTTGTGTGAATAAGGGTTATGTCACATATATGAGAATATGATGACAATGCACCTAATATATGTGAGATAAAGAAGTTATTAAATGAGAAATGATAAATTATGATATGTGTGAGTATGTGTTGTGTATTTGGTTTTATATGCATGTGCTTGTTTTATAATTGATATATAACTGTATAAGGTAGGTTTTACCTTAATTACTGAGTGGCTAGACTCACCCCTTTTATTTAATACTTTTTAGGCTCTAGTTCTGATGGAAAGAGGAAAAAGGCTCAATAGGTTAAAAATTAGCATATTCCTATTATATACCTCTGGCTTAGATTTATTTTGTGTAATAGTATATAAATGTCAATTCTAGGATGTATGTTATCACACTTGCACTATTTGTTATTGCAAATGTTAGATTTGTATTTTGGGCCTTGAGTTTTTTTTTGTATGTTGAGATATATATATTTATAGGGCCAAAATACTAATGCAAGCGTAGAAATGGATATTCGAACATGTTTTGATTGATTTGGATGT